CCTTTCTGCTGTTAACGGTGTGGATCATCGAGGAGTGATGAGTTTGTCTATTAAGTACGTCCCCCCAGGAAGCCTAGGTAAAGTGTGTAGGCTGCAGCCTACATCTGATCTTCACATATGGATTTATTAGGATTGTGCTGGGGGGAAGAGAGGAGGGCTCAACAAATCCAAACTCTTCAGGTGTTATGAGTACTGTGGGCAACACACAACCCCTCTCACTGTGGGGTGGCACAAGACTGGGTTTTTCCTACAGTTCCTTCTCCTTTCCTGTTTCAAAGCAGCAGCAGCACATTTTCAGGAGCCCTCTGCAGCTGCAAGGGTAATAGTGTTTTGGCAAGGGTACAGAGAGCTCACGAGGGAGTGAGTACACAGGAAAGTCATGTTGCTGTTCCCTCAGGTCCTGGGGAGGAAGCCTGTCATTTTGCTACTTATTGTTGGATAACTGGCATGACAGTTGTTCTCTTCTCCTAAATGGCAGGTCCCAAGAATCCTCCCTCTGGTGAGGTTCACATCTGGGTCAAAGATGTCAAGGACCTGCTGCAGTTGCGTCCTTCTGGAGTTGACTCCTTTGTGAAATGGTAAGTGCACAAGCACGGTGTTGGCTTTGGTCCTGGGTCACAGAGTAGTGTGCTTTCTTCCCATTTCTCAGGCTCACCTTGCTGTGTCTCCATACTGTAAAACTTTCATGTTGCATTGGGCTTTTTAGGAGAGAATTGCCCTTGTTATTCACTTGTGGCCAAATTAGGAAAATCCTGATAAAGTTCTTGGTCAGTTACTGTCTGTGGCTCACCCAGTGGTTCGCCTCAATAACATCTGAGTAAGAAGAGTAAGTGGGAATGAAATTTTGATATGAGGTTGCATGAAAGATTTGGGAAATTGTTAGGGGCTTGACGGAACTGACGTACAGATGGTTGCATCCTGCTTTGATCTTCTCCAGAATTTAGTATGTGCAGTTTTCTGGAGCCTGCAATGTCAGTTCTTGCTCTTAAATGGGAGAAGGTGCTGCGAATATTCCAGAAAATCCTTACAGATTTCTCCTGGTAAAAGGTTTGCTGCTCCAGAAGCCCACCTGACCATTTTGAAATGCCCCCTTTGGCATCTAAGCAGTGGAAATATATGAAAATAGAAATTTGTGAAAGTAATGTCCATTTTTTAATGTTAAATGTTGGGTTGCAAGAAAAAAGAAATTGCCAAAAGCAGGAATTTTAAAGCAAGCACCCTCTTTTCTGAAAATGTTTGCTTTTAAAATGAAATTTTAAAAAGAAAAAAAAAGGTTTCACCCAGGAATTATGAACATTTTTCTGTTAAATCCACAGTGATTTCTTAGGTTGAGATCAAAATCCTCCTTTCTTCAGAACTGAGGCTTGTTCAGACCAAGGAATTTTTCAGGAACAGTTCAAATCTCAGGTGAAACTCAGTATTACATGCTGTATTTTTTCTCCTCTCAAAGCTATGTGCTTCCAGACACCAGTAAGAAGAGTTACCAAAAGACCCGAGTCATAAAAAGAGACACAAACCCTGTTTTCAATCACACTATTGTATATGATGGCTTTCATACAGAGGATCTAAAGGATGCTTGTGTTGAATTGACTGTGTGGGATCATGAAAAACTTACCAACCATTTCCTTGGAGGAATCAGGCTGGGCCTTGGGACAGGTAAGTGATTTTCTTTACACTAAATGAATACTGTTACCATATTGCTGCAAGATATAATGGGAAGATGCAGAGCGTTTTCCTGTTGGGGAGAAACCAGGAATGAGGAGTCTTGGTACTTGTACTGTGTCTTGGATGGAGGGGGCCCTGCTACCATGATAGCAACCCTCTGTTCCCACCTCTTCTGCCAACATCAGCTCTAAGGTCTAGCAAAGCTCAAGAATCTTCTTTGGGTCCATCAAACTGCTGTCACAGGAAAACAGGCCGAGTTACAAAGCAACATTATATTGCTGCTCAGATAGGAACTTGAATGCCATGTGGGACAGCACCACCTGGTGACTCTGTCCACATCACCTCCTCCCTGAAATGATTTGGTAACATGTTTGGAAAACAAGGCAGGCTATACTAGTTGATCTAATAGGTAATCAGTACTGAGAGTACATCAGCTGGAATGAAATCCTGGATTGGAATAATGGCTTTGTCTGGGTATAGAGTGAGGTGTTACTGTTGGGTTTATGTTTTGTTTCTGTTTAGACAATGTAGTGCTGAAAGACCTCAGCCGAGGTGCCTTTTCCTCCAGTGGGAGATATCACTGTCTCTGGGAGCTGATGGCATGAGTTTCATATTTGTATTTTTATAAGTGGGATATCTAAGGCTTTCTAAACCACTGATTGTTAAGCAAGAGGGTTCTCTGAGAGATGAGAGGCGAAGAGAAGATTTTAGAATGTTGTAATAAAGGATAAGTGTTCCTTGAGGGTATTGGGAAAAGGCTTATAACAGCTGGAAGGTCTGCCTTGCAGGTGCACTTATGTATATTGGATTTGCTTGTGTTTTGTTTTCAGTCTCTCTCACCAGGAGGGCTGAGAACTAACTACCCAGTGGGAAGGGACAACAAAACTAAGCACATAAGCAAGATATAAAAATACCAACTGCAAGAATAGACCTTTATCTCATTGACAAGTAGTTGGCACATGAAAATCTGGTTGAATAATCAACTTGGAATTGATGTACACACTTTTCCGCCATCATATGCTTGATTCCTGTATAAATAAAATGTAGAGCAAGAGAATGTTGACAAATACTCCACCTTGTCCACAAGAAAATCCTTTCCCTTACAGGATTAAGGGAAATCCTTAAGGGTTTCCAAAAGGATGAAGGAAAACCCAAATCTCTTAGACCTTCTTTACCATTCTGAAAGAGGCAGAAAGGCTTGATCCCATTATTTTCCTTGGCAGGTGATGTTCAGGGCTCTTGCATTCTGTGGTTTTTGCTTTGCCTTCATTCTGAACTCTGATGTAAGATGGAGGTCTTCAGTAGGAAGAGCAGGAGGTAGTTAAGGTGCAACTTGCTGAGGAGAAGTTAGCACCATTTATATTCAGACACGACCTGCAACAGTTCCATCCCACTGAGTATTTTTGCATTCCCAACGTTGTAGTTTTCTTGTTCTTTTCAGGTTTGAGCTATGGCATCTCTGTGGACTGGATGGACTCCACGCAAGAGGAGGTGGCCTTTTGGCAGGAGATGATGTTGGCTGCCAATGAATGGATTGAGGGATTGCTGCCACTGCGCTCCCTGGCAGGGAGGAAGAAACTAAAATAACCTGCATTTGCGCCATAGAAAGGCTGAATGTGTTCATTAGCATTTGGAAAGTTCCTGCACCAAGGTGATGGAGCCATCCATAGGCCTGGCAAGTGTCAGGTTATAAGGCAATTGATGGACAGCACTTTGAAAATGTTAAATGTTAAGTATTAATTCACTAACAGAGGACATGGAAGATACCAGACTGATGCTATACTTGATTTTGACCAAGAAGAAATTTCATTTGCCTTTTTATTTAATCACTTATATTCAGTATATTTGAATTCCATTAAGCTCTGGGAACAATGGCAGAAGGAGAAGGAGATACGGATTTTTTCTTTTTTACTGTTTCTTGTGCCGTTTTTTTTCTGTGCAGCGATGTAGTTGTGCTAAAGCAGCAGCATGGTATTATTCATATTCCCCTGCAAGTGGTACGCTTAGTACTTGATGTAGAATTGCTCCAAGTCACCAGCAGCACAGTCTGAGAACAGGAGTTTAGCATTTGTTGCTCGTGATAACATGTCTCTAACGTGAGGAAAAATTGAGATCCAAGGTGAACATAAAGAAAGAGCGGACTATTTGAAGCAGAAAATGAAGCAACCTGAGGAGGGTAACAATGAGGGATTCAATATATTAATTTCTTTCTACTTTAATATGAAAGAGAGAAGTGGTGATCCTGCAGTTAGTGGGATTTTGCAGCCAGGGGCTGTTTTCCCACTGGCTTCCTCAGTGACCTCAGGCAAGTTTCTCTATGAAAGGACAGTTTCAGTGCAATATAAACTAAAATGCTTGCCCAAATGTAAAATATGGTTACACTGCTAATGGGCCTAATCTCACCTTTGAAATGCCTTGTGTGCAAAACAATATGAAATCATATAGGAAACGGTCTAATGTTAACCTGGCTCAACAGGTCAGGAAAGAAAGGTCAAAACCACACTGGAACATGGGAGATGTTGGGAGCCAGTGGGAGAGGTGAGTAGGGAGTGAATGAATGTGAGGGGTGGCTGCAGAGCTCCAGTTGCGTGAGGTGCTCTCCTGCCCCTGCACACCCTGCTGCCCTTCTGGCTTTCCTTTCACCTGATGCCTGTTGACAAGTTGTCTGTGGCTGGAATTTCCTTTTTGCCAGTGGCTCACAAGAGCTTTGCATTTGGCACATTGACCGTGGCAGAGTGGTGTTGTGAATGCATTTTGAAATGCAGCTTTGTAATTTCTATTTTGGATGTACATATTGTGATTAAATAGAATGTTTTTCTTTAGTCATCACTTGGTCTCCTTGTACCTATTTTCATCATGGTCTGAGTAACAAGAAAGCAAGCAAAAGAACTGTTAAGTTTTGTCTTGTCCAAATGAACCGTTTGCACCCAAGGGCAAGTGAAATGTCATGAAGAAATATTTTCTGTTGCTATCCTACCCTAGATTTTAGCTCTGTGGATATTCTCATGTTCTTCTTTGATGTATTGATTTTATTTAACTCAAGTTCAGTGTAAATTTTCAGCTTAGCAAAGATGGTTGTAAAGAAATGAATGGAAAAATGTACATTTAAAATAACAGACTTTTTCCTGATGACGTTTGGGAGATAATCAGCAGCTTTCATGGCACTAAATAAGGAAAGAAGATGGATTTGCAATGGGAGAAAGGTAATACTTGGAAATGTTGTACCAGTTGTACTGAAATCACTAAGAGAGTGTCTGTAGAGCAGCAGAATAATGACTGTCTGTTGAAGGACTTGATATATTTGTATAGCATGTCAGCCCAGAGATACTTTGCATGGGCTCCAGCCTGACATGTTTTGTTCACCACCGTTTGGTCATTTTTTACCCTTGTGTGATAAAATAACAATATTGTGCCTAGGATTAGAGTTTTTAGGTTACTATCATCACCTGTTTAGGTGCTGAACATGTGAATATTGATGCACACATGTAAGTGACAGGCTACAAGGAGCCCCTCTCTTCGGAGCTGTGGTTTGTTGCAGTGAGGTTATCCCCAGGACTGCTGCTCTCACCCTGAGTGCTTCCCTATCCTGTATGGTTCTGCTGGGGGGATTTCTGCTGTTGCTGTGAAATCAGTTGTCTTTGGCTCGAGTAGGTCCAGGTCTCTTCCTGGAGGGTTCAGCTGACTCCTTTCCATCACAGAAATGGATTCATCCTGCCACCTCCTTTTCTCCTCACCTGCAGTATTAGCATATGTGGTTGTGACAATGCCAAAACTGCTGTTTGTGTTAATGGAGCTAGAAATGATTTTGTTGGTGTTTTAGAAAATTGACATCTTTTTCTATGGGGTGCCAATAAGGGGGTCAGTGAACCAGTTTCATCCCAGCGCAGTTGCTTTTATGAACTTGGCCCAGGACTTTGCGAGCAGATTATTTTTGCGTTCAGATTCCATTGAGGATTTTTGGTTAATCTTTGGGTGGCTTGTTTATTTAAATTAAGCCCTAATTAAGTTAAGAAGCTTTTTTTGCCATTTAATACTGTATCAGAGTAAAAGATTACACTGCCGAACCACACGTGCCTTTGTAACACAGCTGTATCTGAGGTAGTAAAATGTGCTATGCTGTTTCTGTTTCATTTACTGCACAGAAAGCACTTTATCAGAAAGAGGCACTTTTATTGTCAGTGTCATATGGAGGAATGGAAGAACTTGAGAGAATAAGGTTAACTGCCTGTTTCTATGTAGCTTATGATGTTGACATTTATTTTCTGTGAATGGCACATGTAACAGACTCTGGCCTGTAGGCATATATAGATGATAACATGAGTTGGGTAGTAACTGGTAAAGAAAAAAGAAAACAGATGGCAAGTTCTCTGACTGTATTTGCTAGTTCATCGTGGAATGGGTTAAGGAAATACTCCATGCGTATAGTAAATGTGGTTTGTGTCTCTCATTTTCCTGAATACAAGCATGCAATTGGCAGTGACACAGTGGGAGCTGACTGTGGTCACTGAGCTCTGGCTGAGTACAGCAGTGACCTCAGGGACTGAGCAATGTGAAATGCCATATTACAGGCTGGGACCCTCAGGCACTAGCCTCTTAATATAAAATGCAAAGATATCAGTATCTACAATAGAGGTGGGTAACTGCTTCCCCTGAGTGTCTTGCACTGGAGAGTCAATGTGCTTCCTTTGAGTTTATTGCCTTATTTATATAATGTTTTCTTGGGAATCTTCTAAGCAAAAAAAGGGAGAAAGCAAGAGTATTTCTACCCCATCAGTCAAATATAATGTGGCTGATGTCCATTCAAAACTGTTTATATTGCAGGTATCAAGCTTTTGAAAATAGTTTACTAGCTAACTAAAGAAGATAAAGAATCCTGAATCTTGAACAACTTCCAGTGAATGAGTGTCTTGAAGGGGTTGGAAAAGAACTGTTTGAATTAATTATCTATTACTAAATATTTACTCACATTTATCCTTCACCAAGACAGGAATAAAACTGAAGTACTATAAAGATTCAGGGAGCATATCACACTGGCTAAATAAACACATATAGTAACATCATCTGTTGAAGTAAGAAATGCCATGTTTTTGCAGGCTTGTTAAGTCAAAAAAATGTATTGAATAGACTGGTGTATCAAAAACTCAATGAATAAACACACTTCAGTACCTAACAAGTAAGAGGGAACATATTCAGCACCAGGTTAGACTGCTTGTTTTAGTTGGCTGTTTGTACTTTAATATCTGTCGTGGCTTAATCCATTTTCTTTCCCACCTGGTTACTTCCCACCCCTCAGGTGTCCTGGTTGTCTGCTGTTAGAACGGATGCCTGGGAGGCGACATCCCTCTGAGCACTGCCACAAAGGTTGTTGGAGGACACTGGGAAGCTCAAACAAAGGCATGTTTGCAAAGAGGCTGTAAGGTATGTGTTGGCCGAGCCATGCTGCTCTCAGCATCACTGCTGTACAAGGTCCTACTGACCTGTGGAAGGCTCTTGAAACACAAGCCCCTTCCCACGGGGTTGGGCAGGAACAACCACTTTTTTCCAGGAGAAAAAGCACTTTTTGGGAGACTCCTCTGCTACAAGGAGCATCTCTCCCAGTGAAGGTCAAGGTGAAGGTTGTGGGGCCACAGGAGGATGCTTGAGGTGTTTTTGGTACTGCAGTAACACCTCCTGGCCTGTTGTGAGCAGGAAATGGTTGATTTGTAGCAATGAGGCTTGAGTTAAGACTGGCCAACTCTGGGGTGACTGTTCCCACTTTTGGGGTGTTTGCCAGCTTTTCCTACCCTTCTGAGCACGTTGCTTGGAAGGTGCTTGGTCAGCTCACAGCAGTGCAGAAACTGAGCATTAGCCTTCAGGAGGCCCAGGGAGAAATGGCTGTTAATGGATTGTATGAGATTTCTTCTGAGAGAGGGATGGGCATGGTGGAGGGCTGGAAATGTCTCCTCCGGGGGCCTCACAGGAGTTCAGCAGCCCTAGACCAAGCTCCTTTTGGTTTTGCGTTAATTTCCCACTTACTCAGCTGATGCCTCCTGTCAGATAATCTGAGTGAAGTTGGGTGACGATGTCAGCAGGCAGCAGCAGCATTCTGGGAGGAGTGGAGAAACAAAGGAGCAGGATCTGAGCTGTCAGGTTTTCTGGTCACACCGGGTTCGTGCTGGAGGGCTCCACTTAGCATTCATGCTAGAGACGGGCTGGTGTGGTACCATCATTTCCCTCCAAGCAACCTGAAATCAGTGCTCACTTTAAGCAGGCAGATATCTGATTTTTTAATATGCTTTAAAATCATACTATGGCTGGACATGTCCTGGGCTGTGGCAATCCAGCCTGTGTTGTACACTCAAACTAGCTCTGCTTTAATAGATCCTTTTAGGAGGAAAGGAAGGAGCCTGGAATATGGAGGCATTTCTGCTGGTCAGTTTTCCTGGTTTTTTTACCAGGAGTGCAGTCAGTGTTTAGTGATTTACTTTACAAAATGGAAAATACACAACACCACAGAGCCACAGTGCAACCCCCTGCAGCACCTTGAAGACCCCTACAGTTAATCCTCAACAGGCATTAGAGCTTCTGTTAAAAAGGCTTGTGTTTAGTGGTGTTGATCAGAGCAAATTCCAAGTATATTTTGCCTTTTCTCACTCTACAGAGTGCTGCTGCTAAACTTGAGACTCTACCAGCAGGAACAGAAATCGGATTTCATGCATCTAACAAGCCATAATGCCATCCTGCTAGTCATTAACAATCCAAAGTAGCTCTTGAGCTGTAAGCAAGCAGTCTGAGCTCTGGACTCAGAGGGGAAGCTAGGGAGCTCTTCTCTGCAATGTAAGTAGCTCAGACACCCACTCTGTGGCAAGAAAAATCACAGTAACCTCTCCTGCTCTCCTTCTCTCCCACTCACCATTACTAATTTATCCTGATTGTAATGGCTTCTATTTGCTCTAAGCAGATCCTGTTCACTTCCTGAGAAGACTTGAACAGCTACAAGGACATAATATTCCCAGTGGAGGAGCTGTTCTTGGATTCAGGCAGATTCAGGCAGATATAATGATCTCTTGATGGGAGCCCCCCTTTTTCAATCACCCAACCCATGACCATTTTAATGTGATTGTAATCTGAAATAACACACGGGGAGCTGCATCTGGAGTAAGCCACCCCATAGTAATGACCTGATGTTTAATTTATTGTCACAGGGAAACATTTTGCAAATGATTCATGTCTCTTCAAAAACCCAGCTGATGTGCCTGTGCAGGCTCTTGGGGCTGGAGGCTATGTCATGGGAGTGCTGTGTGGCACCAGAGGGTGGCTCTGCCAATGCAGGGATGCAGGGACAAGCTCATCCCCTGTGCACATCCACCCATGTGGATCACACTATAAGAGAGTTAAATATTCCCTGTCCATTCAGGTTGCAAAGCAAATGCTAACAGTGTCCTGGAGCACTGTCATTGACTCAAGAGGCTTTGCTGGTTATTTCTGAAGTTTCCCTGCCTTGGTGTCTCTCCCACATTCTCCCATTGGCACAGATCCTGGCTGGCTTTGCAGCTGCATCTCTGTTAAGCTCCTTGGGAGGAGGCAGAGCCTCTGAGGGGATAGAGCAATTCAAGCTTTCTGGGACAGCTGCTCTGTGCTAGGCCCTTTGTTCTTCTACAGCTGAGGGAAAAAGCAGTAGTAGTGGAGGACAGTTCATCCCGTCAAGCTGAGTGGGAGAAATAACTCTTAAAATGTTCTTGCCTCTTTCTGTTGGCTATGACAGGTAATGTATTAATGGGGGACCAGTAATGGGACAGCCAGCATCACTCAGCCATGACTATATTTATCAAGCTTATGCCTGCTCTACTGCTGTTGATTTAATCCCAGTGGTACCCCTGCAGGATGTCACTCCTGGAACCTCAACCACCATGCTTGGTGTGCAGTACTCCATTATGCACTAGAAGCATTTTGCTGACAGGTTGGTGTTTGGTGAGGGAGGTCAGACAAGTTTCCCGGGGACAGAGGCTGCCAGTCTGCCACAGAAGTCCACCACTACAAAAGACACTTTAGCCCAGCCAAAAGCTAAGGTGGGACAGAAGCTTCACCATGTGCCTTCTGGCATTCAGCCCTGCCTGTGCTTCCCTCCTGCTACTGCTGTTGGAGGCTGTACGGCTGTCACCCCATCACAGAGTCCTGAATTATGCTTCCAATGCCTGCTGTCAGCTGGGCTGTCAGTTCCTGAGTACCATGCAGTGCCTTGGCTTTACGCTTGTCTGCACCACCCTGACTAACTGTGGGCATCATATAAACAATAAACACTAATTCACCCAATACCTTCCCTCTGTCCTGGGCACACATCAGCTAGTCCTAGGTGTAATCACGTCTCTGTCAACAGTGTGACATGGAGACAGACGATTACATCTCCTGGACAGGCCTAATTTAACGGGTATTTTATCAAAACTAGCTAATAAATTGTTTGCTGTGTGTGGTTAGCCAACCTGTTCTCAGCATGCCCATCACCCTCGTGTGGGGCCTGTAACCATTTTCAGTGCGTAGCTGGTCTTTGGCCTAGCTGGTAGCATACACTGGCAGGGCTCGGCTTGGATGCAGTTCATCTCTGCAGTGATGAGCAGCTCCATTGCGAGTGGGGCTGGAATACAAAACCTGTGAGGGCTGGGGATGTCAGCCCATGGGTTGGGGTGCTCTGGTTCACCCGTGTGCTGCCGTCGCTGCACCTTCCCAGGTTTGGGAGCAGGCTCGGGCTGCCTCAGGCAGCTCCTGTGCAGCCAGCCCCGCAGCCAGGGATTGTGTCAGATTGATTGTTTTTTGTATCCTTGGAAACTGAAAGGGCATTAAAATTGCATGGGGCAGTGCTGATGTGCTCTCCTCCTCATAGTGTTGCCACTGGCTTGGAGATGGCTTTGGCCTCCAGCTGCCGGTTATCGGACTGGTTCTAAAAACTAAACTCCAACTCAGCTATTGTGAGGGAAGTACCCTGTGAAATGCAGTGCTGTTGTCCAGGGGATGTCTCAGTTACAGCCATCCCTGACCATGGCTCAGTACTTTGTCTGCTTGTGGCCTAGCCACAGTGAGCATTGGCATCATGGCAGAGAGCTTCTGCCCAAGAAGACCTATCTGCCTTGGAACCCTCCTGCCCCAGCCACAGGGAACCTGAGGCTGGCACTGGGCTCTTAGCATGAAGTTGCATGGTTGTGGTCACTGTTATTTAGAGCACACATGGCACTCGTCACCCACTAGTGTGAAGTGGGTTGGAACTGGCCTCACACAAGCCCCTTCTGAGTATCTGCTTAGGGCTTCATCACCTGACACTTAAAAGAAGTTAATGTAATTGCTCTGGGAGAGAGACTACAGGCAGAGCAGGGTAGCAAGGGAGTGGTTTTCCAGCCCTCATGCCCTTTTGTCCCAGCTTCCTTGCATTAAAGTAGATGTACTAAATTAGAAGTACCCATTCCAGTGGCTGACGTGTGGATGTTTTTCACCTTGTGCAGGAGCTGCACTCAGGTGTGCATAGGTGGCCCTTGGGAAGGGCTTTACCCCTTGTTTGTCTATACACAGTGCAGGGTGCGGGAGCTCCCTTTGACCTCTTGTGACAGCACCAGCAGCTGGGTTCGACTCCCATGGGTACTGCTGTAGATGCCAGAGCTTGGCCCCTGTGTGTCAGCGTGGGTTCAGCCATGCCCAAGCCTGTGCTGACATGGTTTTCAGGCAGCAATCCTGCAGCACTAGCAGCTGTGAGGAGAAAGCAGCTCCTCTGGAATCATGCATGGGTAGGAGCAGTGACAGGCTGCCTCCAGTCCGGGGGCTGCTGCAAGTGCACCCATGCTCCTACTGCTTCTCACCAGCACCTCCCATCCTGTCCCCAACCAACAAACCTGCCTTACATCAAATCTAGGTTAACTCTCTGTATCTCTCTTTCAGACACCAGATTTTCCATTTTCTACAATGGTACCAGAACAAGGGCTCTCCCAGGATCTCATTTTCTCCAACCTTCTCAGTTGCTGTTAATTAATAACGTGGCTGCCTGGTCATGCAGCGTGTGTTCATCTGTATGCATGAAAGTAACATCAGCATCATGGGATCCTGCGAGTTTACTTGCTGGGGGAAACAGGTCCCTCATGGTATGGGAATTCCTCTGGCTAAGACAGCGTTTGCTGGGTACCAGTGCACCCCTTGGTGCTCTCCCTGGCTCCTCACAGCCCTGCAAGTCAGGGAGCTTCAGGTGTTTCCTGGCATAGCTCACACCACTGCCATGGAATGTCCACTGGCACCTCTGCCTTCAGACACCTGCTGGAGATGCCACTGACAGTTGACCTGCAAATCGACCATCAGTGGCATCTGGTGGTGGAAGAGTGGGAATATGTGTGCATGTGTGTGGGGAGGGGAGAACAACAGTTAAGAGAAACCACAGTTTGTTGTGGGCTTGACTAATGGGCATTGAGCACCAAGAAATCATACGGTAAAGTGCAACAGATCCCCACAAAGCACCGCTGGCAATGATTCACTGGTTAATGTACTGCTAACTGGGATTTATAGGTTTAATATTTCTCTGTTGCACCTTTTCTGTTGTTGTGCAAACTGCTTCATTGGTTTTCTTTCCTGTCCTGAGGTACATTAGAAGAGCATCTTTTTGGGTTGTTATTTCTTAATATACATATTTCAAAGGGTATTGAAACAATTGCTTGCCATTTATTCCTCAGGACTTGAAATGGTCTCTTTAATGTTCTAGTCCAATTTACAAGCTGGCTAACTATCTCATACCTATAATAATGTCTTTTTTTGAGGATCTAATGAATATAATAGCCACTGTGATTTTGTTTATTTCAATAGTGGTCATGCAGGATGAGCTATTAATGAAACTATCTTTAACTAAAAAAAGAAAGCACACCAATGCTTTCATAAATTTATAAAAAAGAAGTGTCAATAATCCTTTTTTTTTTAATGTTTGACTTAATATAGACATTTTAGTAGCTGTTTTTAATAATATACATGCTCATCTTCCCTTCCAGAGACCAAAACTGCGCTGTCAAGTGCTGAAGCAGCAGGCGCTTGAGCTCAGCTGTATCCCACAGAGCCACACTACCTGTTTGGGATAGACTCATCAGAACTGGGACTTACAATCCAAGGCATCTGTGTATACACTGTGCAAGGTATGCTGTTGCTGGGGTTCCTGAACGCTGTGCTTCACCCTGTGGAGCCAGGAACCGGCTCAAGCAGAGCGGGGGAAAATGGGTTTGTTAGGATTTGTGGTATTTAAATTGCTGTGTAGTTAATGTCTGTAACTATTCATTTTTGAGACAATATACCTCACATAGATACATACATACACACATACACTGTTTATACATGCACGTGGCTCTGCTGGGTTTCATGAGTCTGCTAGTACGGTATCTTACCGGTACCCTTGTCCCCTTCAGACAAGGCTTCAATGATACAGGTGACCGGTGCCCTGGGGGGCAGTGCTGAAACTCCCAGACAGTGCCAGGAGCACTTGGGGCTCTGCGTTAGCTTTCAATGGGAACGAAGCTCCCGATGCAAAGGCGTGGAGCTCAGAAACGAGACTCGGCTCTAACGCACAGGGAGGTGCTGCACACCCCGCTAGAACCGCTCACCCAAGGACGGTTAGTGCTGGCCTGTGCTCCTTAGCTTCGGGGTCCGCCTGGCGCCCTGCTCCCCCCCGCCTTGGCACGGCTCCCCGCCGCCCGGGGCTACCCCGCACGGTCCCGCCCCGCCCCGCCCCCGCCCGGCTCCCGCAGCGGCCGCGTTTCGGGGGTGGCGGCTCCTCCCGGCAGTGCGGTAGAGCGCGGCCGCCATTGCACCACGGCGCGCCCCGCACTCGGCCGCGCCTCCGTCCCGACACCCGGTACCGGCTCCAGCACCGACACCAGCACCGGCGGGGGGCGGGAGCGCTGCAGCCGCACGGAACGCCCGCCGCGGCGCTGCGGGGAGGGCGGGCTCCGCGGGAGCGCGGGAGCGGACCCCAGCGCCGCGGTTTTGCAGGGCTGAGGCGGCGGCCGGAGCCCGCCGCGCCCCGCGGCACCTCAGTGCGGCTCGGCGGGATGCGCCGGCGGTGACGGGGCCAGCGGGGGGTGCCTGGCAGGGGCCTGCGCCGGCCGCCATGGGGCCCGCCTGAGCGGTGCGGCTGTGGCGTGGAGAGCGGGGCCGCCCGTCCGAGCTCCGGCGGAGCGGTCCCGGTCCAGATTCAGGCCCGGTCCGCCGCCTGCCTCCGGTGCCCCGCGGTCCCGGCCTAGCGGCGCGTCGCCGCCGGCCGGCGCGCCCCCTGCGGGCGAACGCAGCGGCGGCTGCCCCCGGGCCCGCGGGCCGGGCATGGGCGGTGCGGCGGCGGCGGCGGCGGGCGGGCGCTGAGGCGGGCGGCGGCAGCATGGAGGCCATCTGGCTGTACCAGTTCCGCCTGATCGTCATCGGCGACTCCACCGTGGGCAAGTCCTGCCTCATCCGCCGCTTCACCGAGGGGCGCTTCGCCCAGATCTCGGACCCCACGGTGGGCGTGGATTTCTTCTCGAGGCTGGTGGAGATCGAGCCGGGCAAGCGGATCAAGCTGCAGATCTGGGACACGGCCGGGCAGGAGCGGTTCCGGTGAGACCGGCGGCGGGGGCAGCGTGCGGGGATGCGGGCTGGGGCCGGCTCCCGCGGGGCCGCACCGCCGGAGGAGGCGTTTGGCGCTGGGACAAAGCTGGTTCAAACGCGCCTGTCGCTGCCCCTCAGCTTTTATCCTTTTCCCTTCGATTTGTTTTCGGTTTGGTAGCTCTGCCCCCAGATCGCCCTGAAGCGTTTGTGCCCCTGGACTTGTGTCACCGCACATGGCCGCGGCCCCGGTGTGCAGGATGTGCTGGCTGTGCAGGATGTAAGGGGGGGTGTAGGGTGCAAGTGTAGACGAGCGATGCCGCTGGCGAGGGGGACGGAACCCGGAGGAAAGGCTGGGGTTTGGGCTGGGGACGTCTGTGGGATGTTTTGGGGATGTTTACCAGCCCTGCGCGGCAGCCGTGAGCGAGGAGTTGTGCATCAGAGGATGCAGCTCGGCAGGGAAAGCGCCTGCTCCCTGTTGGTGCAGGAGCAGTAACCAGGATGTTTCACAGCTGAACGCGCTTAGGCTCGCTAAACGCAATCGGATGTGTGGTTTGATCCTCTGCAGCGACAGCAGAGCTTAGCTGTGTAGGACAGAGAAAGGCCGGGACAAACCCTTAGTTGTGGCTGTGCAGAGGTGACGGGTGCTTTCTGGAGAGTGCAGCGCTGAGCGCTGCGTGGGCACAGACCTCTGAGAGGTTAAGTGATAGTAACGAAGACTTGAGAGGAAATAAAGGTGGCAAATGGGGCCATGCCAAGAGTTCCATGCGGAGCTGTGTGGTAAAAGCAGCAGTGATGGTTGGAGCAGGCTTGACCCCAGCTAAACGGGGGGGGGGGGGGGGGCTGATGGTGTCATGGGACACACACTGCTCTGACAGTGCTGTTTGGAAGGGGTGTGATTGCACCTTCAGCTCCCTACCTCCCGTTTACTTATATTTTACGTGCATCTTTAGCCCTTATCTGCGCTTTCACCCTGCTCAGTCGGGGAACACTTTCCTTGCTGCACATCTCTGCGCAGCTTCACAGCTCTGCTTCTGTGCAGTAATGCCTGGCCTGAGGAATGCTGTGGTTTCATTCAATAGATGAAGCCTCCCCACCCTTCTCACCACCTTCCTTCATATCCGTGGTGCTGGCGCCTGGCCCAGGCTGTGCAGTAGTTGGTCCTTATCCTCTGACAGGTTTTCTGCTACCTTGCAGCCTTTTGGGGCGAGGAGCTGGTGCTCTGTTCTGCTGAGAGAGGAGGTGCTTTAGCTTGCAGTTGCATCAGCTTCCAGCTTTGGATCTCTGGCTGAGGCCCGTAGAAGGCATGCTTGGGTGCTGTCCCCTGCTCCTGTCTTTGCTGTGAAGAAGAAAAGGTGGTGGATAGCTCCAGTTTCCTTTCTTTTACACACTGGGGAGTTTGGGGCCCTGGAGGCTGCTTGCCCTATGTGCTGGTGGTTGACCCAGCCCAGCACTTGGGGTTGTAAGCATGATGAGCAAGCGACCTTCTGCGCAAGGGCAGGCTGCACTGCTGCCGTGGGCAGCAGCATGCACAGGCAGGAAGGGTGGAAGGGACAGGATGAGTGAGTGACATAAAAACCCCCACACCGTGCAGCTTTGAAATGCCCTTCCCAAAGCACAGGCTTAAATTCCCACTGTGAAAAGCTAGAGGGAAGTGAGCAAACCCTGGTGTCTTTATGGTGCACTTGGAAGTATGAAAAAAAACAGGCAAAAAGTCTGGTTTGTGTTTATCCCTTTCAGATCACCATTAGCCCTGGGACAAGTTGTGCCCCATAAAGGCAGCAAGAAGCTCTTGGGCTCTTAAAAGCCATTTTTCTTGGCAAAAAGAAAGATGTAGATGTTACTGAAGTCTCTCAGACTTGTGGGTGTAGGCAAGAAGCACGATGGTGCAGGTGCTCTCCGGAACCCTTAAACTTCTTTGTGAGAGCCCAGGGAACCTCTTAATCAGGAAATCTGTAGGAAGGAGCACCTCTCAGAGTTCTCAGACTTGAGCATTCGCACTCTGCTTTGCATAGTTTAACAGCTACTGCACAAGGAGGAAACCACTGTAGTTATCTTGAAGATACCTTTTCGGTGTTCTCTGGCCTGCAGCTGTGCTGCATTTCTGCTCTTCCTGACCCCCATTGTGAGCTCTTTCACTCTCCATAAATTAGAAGCAATTTCCGTGCAGTCAAGGCTTAAATTACAGTTAGGCATGTGCCATTCATTCTGTTTTGCCTGATCAGGCCCCAAAACGTGCTGCATGGCAATGCTGAGGTGGTGGCTTTGGGGATGTAGAGGAGCAGGGTCCCATTCTTCCTGGATCCATCAGGTTCTGCCCATCTCTGGTTGCTCACATACTGCAATTTCCTTGCCTGAAATGTGATGTTGTGTAAGGTCATCAAAAGCAAAAGCATGTGCAGCTCTCACTCCCTGAACTGTGTAACCCCCCTACAGCAGAGCTGTTGAAGGACTCAACCAGGCAAGGACCTGGGTTCAGGAATTCCCACCATGGTACAGAGCAGGGGAGACCTCCCAGATGGAGGCAATAGCTTTATGTTAAAACTTGGCCAAAATAGGTGCAAGTCCCTGTACTGCTCTGCATGAGCATGGCTGGAGGAGGCAAGGTAGCAGTCTTGGAAGGGAACTGGGGGGTGACATGCAGTCTGAAGGCGATGTAGTCTGCTTCCTGTGGGTTGATAGGAAAACAGTCTGTAGAGAAGGTTTTAAGGAAAGGCGCTGAGACCTTCACCTAGTTTTATGTCAAAGCAGCATTCAGCTGAGATCCTGCCATGTCTTTCAGAAGTACCTGAGGCATTGTTGGCGTTGGCAGGAGGAGCCAGGGCTGGTGGCAGGGAACACAAGGGAGAAGCAGAAATGCCTGTGACAGTGTGGGGGTGAATTCAAAGCTCCAATATCTGCTTGCAGCTGGCTAGATAGCAAAAGGCAGAACTAATTCCCTCAGTGCCAAATGTGCAGATCTACTGTTGTCCTTCAGCCAGATAATTGGGAGAGGAGAAATCATCCAAATGCAGCCAAGTGTCTTTTTCCCCTCCTCTTCTGGATTTCTTCAGTTTTTGGCTGTGGATTTTCACCCATCATTGCATGTCTGTTGATAAAGCAATCCTTGAAAACTCCAGGTCACCTGTTCTTGGGGCAGTTTTGCCAGGTACATGCCTTATAGGACCAAATAACCCCTAACAATAGTCTCACATATCCAGACAGGACTCATCCCAAGGTAAAAATGCAGCAGTGCTCATATTTCCCCAGCAAGGAAAGTTCAGGCACAAATGTGAGTTTATCTAGGGACTGAAATTGATCCTTGCTTTTGGATTTAGAATGAATCCATGACTTTGCAGAAACATTGCAGCTTTACAGCTTCTTGGTGTGTCCATGTGTAGTAGTGATGGAGCTATAGCTCTGCTCAGCCTCACAGCTCAGCTTCACTCCATGGCCCTGTGCTGGCTGATTCATTGTATCGTAGAACGGTTAGGGTTAGAAAGGACCTTAAGATCATCTAGTTCCAACCCCGCTGCCATAGGCAGGGACACCTCACACTATTCCAGTTGCTGCTTCTGGCTGTGCTGAAGCCTGTGCTTTCTCAGAAGAGTTACAGAAGAAGCTCTTCCCTGTGAGGGTGCTGAGGCGCTGGCACAGGGTGCCCAGAGAAGCTGTGGCTGCCCCATCCCTGGCAGTGTTCAAGGCCAGGTTGGACAGGGCTTGGAGCAACCTGCTCTAGTGGAAGGTGTCCCTGCCCATGGCAGGGGGTTGGAACTGGATGAGCTTTAAGGTCCCTTCCAATCCAAACCATTCTGCGATGATTCTGTGCACTCCATTTTTCAGCCTGTGGTCTCTGGATACAATTTAATGTCAGTATTTGGCAGAACAAGACCAGTGGTAATGTGCATTCTCCGAGGAAGCTTTGGTATCATTTTGCTGTTACTCAGGGGTCGGACTAGCTAATTTTGGTGCATTAGTTGTAGCATCATTTTGACTAGTAGCACAGTGGAGAAGGTGCAGGGGTTGGTGGATGTCTACCTGCCAAGGCCCTGGATGTACAGAGGCGAGCTGCAACCCATTGGGCTGCCTTCCAGATAATGTAGCCCTCTTCTTTCTCATGTCTGTCAGAGTTTTCAGATGTCAGTTTTATGTGTCTGTTTGGTTTCAGATGGACCCTTTAATTTGTAACAGTGCTTCTAAACTGATGGGTTAAACAGGGTATGCAGAGGACTTATATGGTGGGGTATGGACTCTTAGGACTAACAACAAAGGGCATATGATAGAAAACAGAGACTGAGCGTGGTATTGGGGATTTGGAACACAGCTGTGATGAATCAGCAGGGCAGTTACCCAAGGATGAAATCTTTAGGCCAAGATTTGAATGGCAGGCTCTACAGAGGACAAGCTAAAAGTGGTAAGACACTGAATGGCTCCTCTGCCCTGTATTCTGCAGTGCACACAGGGTGGTGGTAACACTGCTTTATTAAACAGAGACCAGCCCTTCAGAAGGGCTACAGAAAGAAAAAGCAATAATCAGAAGTCACATACAAACAAACAAAACCCCACCTGAACTCTCTCTGCCCTTCTTCCCAAGCAGCTGTAACTTATACTTTTGCTGTGGTTCATTTGTTTCCAGGTCCATCACCAGAGCTTACTACAGGAACTCAGTTGGTGGACTCCTCCTCTTTGATATTACAAACCGCAGGTCCTTCCAGAACGTCCACGAGTGGCTAGAGGAGACCAAGGTGCACGTCCAGCCATACCAGATCGTCTTTGTTTTGGTAGGTCACAAGTGTGACCTTGACACACAGCGGCAAGTCACCAGGCACGAGGCTGAGAAACTGGCTGCTGCATATGGTATGAAGTACATTGAGACCTCGGCTCGGGATGCCATTAACGTGGAGAAGGCCTTCACTGACCTGACTCGAGATATATACGAGCTTGTTAAAAGGGGGGACATTTCAATCCAGGAGGGATGGGAAGGGGTAAAGAGCGGGTTTGTCCCAAACGTAGTGCACTCTTCAGAAGAAGTGGTGAAATCAGATAGGCGATGCTTGTGCTGAGCTCTTCTAGTGAGGCAAGTGGTGATGAACTCTACTAACCAAATGTACTTTACTAAGTGAACTCGGTGTGAGAGAAGGGAGAGCAACACTCCCGTTGTGAACAGCCTCCCGCAGTGTTTTGGACACCAGAACAGACCCCAGAAAGACATGTTCTGTTCCAAATAACCTTTCAGAACTGGGGGCTACAAACCTACAGGAGAGTGAGTGAGGGTGCATGTAGCTGTTGTAAGGAGACAGGAAGCAGAAATGAGGGGCTGCACAAGACAGGAGAGAGTATGCAGAGAGCTGGATGGGCTGGCACGTGCCAGGGTACTGTACTTGTCCTCTTTTAAGTAAATCCATAGCTCCATGTTGGGTATCGAAGCCACAGTATTGGTACTTTAATAGTATGAGAAACAGGCAGACAGAGAGAAAGAAAGAGGACATCTTCCTTTGTGTCAGCTGTTTACTACAGGAAGGTGAAAAGGCAGCACAGATACTGTTTCCTCATAAGCCAGGCTCCACAGGAGAAGCTTACTGACATGGTGTGCACACTTCTGAATTTTCTTTCTTATGTTCTTGAACCTAGTTTGATAGCAAAGATTTAAAGAGGAAAACAGTAGTTATCTGACTGGTAATTAACATTTAAATTATTCCCCTCCCCAGTAGTGCTTTTCTTGCTGTGCTGAACTGGGACTCTAAGTAGCAATTCCTGCTCCAGTAGTAATTATTCAGTGCATTTTTACACATTTACTGCCTAGGTGAGTACCTTGAATGTACCCGAGTTCAGGGCTTTCCAATAGGATTAGGTGGTCAGGAGCACAGAGAGAACCACATCCTCATATGTTGTAGCTTAAGGGTGGGGTGTTGCAGCCAGGTGGGACACACCAACATTTCTCTCTTGCTAACAAACAGCAGTGTGCCGACTCTTTGGGTGTCTTACCAGCCAGGTCACAAGGAGGAATGGAAAAGGGGAAGACAGGGGAAACAAACATCAAAAAAAAAACTTGAAAAGCTTAACTCAGGTGCGTCAGCCATACTAAAAGGTGAGATTTGTTTTTAAAGAGGTTAACTAGCATAAAAGGCAACAGCTTCCATCAGTATTTTCTGCTGTTAAAGTGTCGTTTTCTTTCTTGGCATCTGTGGAAAACAAGAAACTAACGCTGGGAAGGAGGAGCACACCCCGGGAGTGTCTGAGCAGGTGGAAAGCCACAAGATGAGCTCGAGTAACATTTGTTTTCCTCCATGTTTTAATTTGACAAAAGAGGATCCATCTCAGGTTGGTTGTTATGGGGTGGCAGCCATGTTACAAAAGCTACGTGTAGGGAGATGTTTCCTGGGAATGCCATTCACCACTTAGAAGCTTTGCTTCTGCTAAGTTTTAACTTAAGCTTTTGAAGTGCAGCAGGGTAACTGTGCTCCCACAGCAAAGGAAGGAAGTTCAGCCTATTAAAAGCAAACAAACCTATAGTGACTTTTTTCCACTTGAGTTTGAAAGCGTTATACACCAATCTGCTAATGGGCAGGAGAGAGTGATTAGGTAAAACCACAGGAAGCATCTAGTGCTTGATTTTAGGCCTCTAAAAATAGGGAAGAATAAAATATTTACAGTTTTTTAAGCTACCTTGTCTGTAAAGGTGTGGGCTGCCTTGATCACTGTTGTGTTCAGCCTATTTCTCCCTTTGAACCCGGTCTCACAGTTTGCAGCACATGGGCAGGTCTGTATGAATTAAAACCCCTGTGGTTTCCATAGCAAAGCTGTACAAAACCCCCAAAACCCAACAACCAAACCACTGAACATGAGTAATGCTTTTATTCTCAGTGTTCTAGGAACAGTTTGAGTCCCTGGGCTCTGCAGGGGAGCAGCAGTGTGGCACCTACTGGGGGGGACACTGGTAGGAAGTCGGAGGGAGGGAGGGGTGGCACTGGACCAGCACCTTACAGTAAGCGTCTCGCTTCTAACCCCTGGTTGCTCTTGAATAGGCTACAAACACATCAGAAACCTTGTGCTAAAGGCAGATTCAGCTGTGGTCAAGTTGAGTGCCCTGAAGATTAAACCACAACAAGAAATCCCTGTACAAACTTTCTAGGTAAGCAAAGCTGGAGCCGATTGCTGCAGAGCATGCCACAGGAGCTTGGCTGCCCTGGCTCCCATGGGCTGATGCCAGCGGAGAGCACAAGGTTTGCTGGGATGGGTCTGTTAGTCCCGTTTTCACAATGGCAAGGGCAGACAAGTTCAAAAGGGGCAGTTTTTCTTTCTCAGAGTGGGAAGTCCACCAAGAAACCAATTTGGTGTTTCAGGGTCAGCGGTTGCATCCTGGGCCACCTCACTGAGGGTGCTGCACTAACAGCAGTGAGAAGCTGGATCAAACGGTTCTTTAGCAATAGTAAAACTCTGTAATTTGCTGTGCAGAAACCTGGCCATTATGAGAAAGATCACTTTTCATACAACCACTGTTTTGTTTAATAGGTTTTGGACATTCCCCTTTACTGCTCCCAGAGACAAATTCCAGAAAGCCCGCATCAGTCAGTGCATGCAGGCCTCCAGAGTAAGTCTTCAATTTAAAAACACAAGGATCATGATTCTAAAGAGGAACAGTGCAGAAGAAAATGTACGCAGTCTTAACTACTTAGAGGTAATAAATGGTTATATTAAATGATAGAGAAATCATTATCTACATCTTTTTTCTAATTCCTTGCATTTTCTAGACAGCTTATTCAAATATAGGAAATGTAGATTCATCTGTACAAAATTTGGAATGTTTTTTCTAAGATGAAGAGCTTATAGGATATGCTACGAATTCTTTTCTAACAACTGGTTTTAATGCTTTGACTTCTAGTGCAAGAGGGGCTTAGAGAAATCAGCAGGTGCCACCTTTCACAGGACAAAGGTCAGGAGCTCTTTTACTCTAGGACAAAAAGAGAAAAAATAAACCTAAGAGAAAGCTACTTTCTGTGGTCTGCACCACACATTAAAACCAATCTGCATGTTAGACTGCAACTGCTCAGACCCTCTGGAATAAAAGCGTACGATACACTTTCCGCTTTCTGTTATGCACTGTAACGAAATGTGAAAATACTGCTGTATTTAGCTGTCTGTATGTGATTGAAAACATGCTTGTATTTAGCAAAATGATTACTACGTGATAATGTGAAATTCAAAACTTGTAAAGAAACTTTGGTGGGGTTTTTTTTCCTCCCTCTCCTCTGTCCTTTACCTGTAAGCTGTCTACGTCCTGCACTTCTATAGTGCAGTAAGCTAACATGGACTGGCTCAACAATAAACAAGTACTCTTAGCAACAGCAGCCAGAAAGCCAACCCCAAACCAACCCCTTGCACTCTTCAGTAGCAGCCAAACCCAACCTCACCCCCTGGGCAGCAGCAGTGCCACCGCAGCTGCTGCACGCTGACCTGCTCTCCCTCAGAGTAACAAAGACTTGACAGCAAAGGGCAGAGCAATGCTGGGCAAGGGAAGAACGACTTCTTGTCTATGAGGTTTGGGGTTTTACTTACTTCATATCAAAGAAACACCCAAACCACTGTGGCCAGAGCCATCTCCTACCCCAATCCCAAGCCTGATACTTTCTGAATCAACTGAGCAGCCCCAGCCCCAGCGCTGTCACCATTAGGACACTGTCAGCTGCACACAGTATTTGCTCCTGCAGAAACACTTAACTCATCATCTCATTGTGCCCAGCACAGGCAGGCGCTGGCTGCCCGAGGACCAGCCAGCGGGAGCATGCTTTAGCCTGCTGGGAGCTCATTAATCCAAATATTGAAGAGAAAATTGCCGGAGAAAGCAGGACGTGTTTGCAGCTGCCCTTCCCGTCAGTGCTGATGCTCTTACACAGGGCAGCGCAGCAGCCCGTGGGCTGAGCAGCCCCATGCCCAGCCAAGCCTGGCAGCCCCACGTACCTGTTAGTCACAGAATGCATTTGATCCAGACGTTTCTCTGCCACAGCCGGAGCCACAGGGACAAACAGCATCTCCCTGCACGACAGGTATGGATGAGCCAAGCCCAGGTGCTCCCTGCAGCTGGTGGTAAGGATGTCCCTGGGTTCTGCCCATCCCTGCAGCTCTTGCTCTTTCACAGCCACAGAGCTGCGGGGTCACTAATTCAGATGTGCTGACTCACACTCCCCGTTTCATTTGAGCTGCTGTTCACCAGCTCCATGTCTCATCTCTGCTGCTTCAACTGCATTTTCACACACACGCACACACACACATATACCCCGATGAAGGGAGGGAAACAAAATCACATGAGATCCATGATTCCTCACAAAGAAAGATGCACAAAACCAGCTGTTTGCCACAACTGCTTAGTTTTACTATTTTAATATCATGAAATAAAAGTACAAAAAATTTACAGGTATACTGTTTCTTACATGAAGACTGAACAGTTGACATTTGCATTTATTTTGCAGCGAAACCTGTATTCTCAGTCACAGAATGTGAATATGTAGCCACTGACATCACCACTGAGCATTTCAGTTTAGAAAGAAACTGCAGAGGTAAAAGGCAACAATCTCGCAAGGCGCCGGAAAACCCCAATAAAGACTCCAACTGTTGACACCAGCAGTCGGGCCTCAGTAACGCACCCTCACCCGATACAGGTTTCACCACTGGGAGGCTGAGAGGGGTGACCCCTCCTGTCTAAGGGATCAGAAGTGGGGGTTGTTTACAAGCTACCAGTGCTTTGGGTCCTTGTTCAAGGCGTTTGTAGAAGTCGGCAGCGTGCACATGGGTATGAGAACGAAGGGGAGAGATCACCTGCAGCCCTGACGCAGCCTGTGCTGCTCATTCACCACTCCTCTCTGCAGAGAGGTCACAAAGTCTTGTGTGCAAAGTGCTGAGAGTTCAGTTACAGGCAGTTAACTAACCCACTGGTAATAAAACCACACTTATCCACTGTGGGTATCTGGGAATGCTCACCGAGTGATGCTGCCTGTTAACTGACTGAAACAAAATGCAAGACTTCACTCTGTTTTCTCTGTTTCTTAGCACATCACAGCTGCACATCTCCCTGCCCAAGTCACCTTCAACTCCATCATCTGTACACAGAGATGAAAAAGTAAATCCCTGCTCCAGTGCCAGACTCGTTTCACGCATGCCCCTCAACTTCTCAGACAAGCTCTCAGGTAGAAATTTAGTTATGACAGACTGGTCTGATCAAAATACTCTGTCCTTTGCTGGACTCCATGGTGCCTTTTCAAATAATTCATTTCCTGAAGCATGCATGAAACCAAATTCTGAGTTTACAAATAAATAAAATGGTGGTCACCATTAGTTTTTATACATTTTACCCTTTACTGAAATGCTTAAAGTAACTCAGTCCCTTGAGAATGAACTTTGGGGGTGTTTAAATAAAAAATACTTGGAAATTGAAACCACATTTAAAATTGGCAAAACTATGCTTTGTTTTTGGAAGGGTCTTGCTTGTTTCTTCTCTTTACATCCCAATTATAAACTCTAGCCATATCTGAGAGTGTGGAATTAAGGAAAGAGCCTGTGCATTCAGATAGGAAAAAGAAAGACAGAAAAGGGGGAAAGCAGGTTAGAGACTTGGACACACTTCACTGACTTGTAACTGTCAATATATAAACCATTTAATGAAAGAGCTGGCTTGGTACAAAGCCTTAACACACAGGAATATACTAATAACTAACTGCAGCATTTATACCATTCACTTAAAAACCTCCAAAAAGATACTCCAGAGAAACACACCTTTAGTTTTACTCACAGCCACTCTTTCCTGATGTCAGTCGCCCTGTCTGTATCAGCTCTTTGCCTATTTCAGGTACCCGTAACTTCCTGCAGCACTAAGACAGCTTAAGTATCAACTTGAAAAAACAAGCAGTTGTGCCTTTGTTCACTACATCTAGTGCTTCAGCTGATGGCTGCCCTCACCAGTGTACATAGACATAAACCCCAAGTTAAGCAATGCCTAAGCAGCACCAAGCGTGCTGCAGCAGGGCTTGCATGGCTTGGAGAACATGGACACAGTTGAATCGGGTATGATGAGCAATAGATCAAAGAGCAACATGCTCTAGAGAGGAAGGAAGAGTCACTTTGCTTTGAAATGGCCACCTGGCCATCAATCCACTGCACCGATCCACGCTTCCAGTCACTCCCAGTCTAGTTCTGCAACCACAAACACAAGCCTTGCTACATCTATAGCCTCAGCACTGAAACCAAAATGTTCCCTTTCGCTGCTAGAAAAGGTGAAACTTCTGGAGTGCTGCAGAATCGTAAGGGCAGCCAGTCTCAGATAAAAACATCAGGGAACTGGTACTTTCCAGTGTTAGCTCTCACATGCACCTCTTCCCCCGCCAACAAAGAAAAGGATACTGACTTCTGTAGTGGTGAACTGGTCTCTAAGAAAATCCAGGTCTTCCTCTAGAAGGTCAAGGTTTCTTGTGGCTGTTGACAAATTCTTTTCTAACAGAGCCTGAGCTTCATCAATATCATATTCAAGCATCACATTGGCCTAAAACAAGAAAGATTGGTAAAAGCTGTTACCCTTGCATTGTAAGGAAAAAGCCATAGCAGGCTTATTTCAAGCTGCTGTTTGTAACTTAGCACATTAACAGAAGGCTGTCCTGACAGGTCAAGGCAACAAGATTCGGGACAAGCAATGCCAGAATCCACTCAAGGCCTCTGCCACTGCATTAACTGTAATAAATCCCTCTAGTGACTTCAGAAAGGTTCTTGTCCTATAGCTAAGCAACAAGGGACTTCTCTCCCTGTGGACTGCATTCAGCCTTTCAGGTTATTACCATCTCCACCATATTTCAAAAGAGAGACTTGACATTTCTTAGAAGCACCTTTCAAGAGCCACATGACTCTAGAAACAGTTTTTGTTCCACTCAAGATTAACCTCGGGATCTGTGTGGAACACTGACAAACAAACAGCCTCCAGGCACTGGTCATTAACAAGAAGTATTACAGGTATTTTAAGATACAACTCGTGTCAGAGTCCTTTCCTTTACCATGGAGGTTTTTGACCTATGAATCTTTGTGTCAGTGAGAAGCTGCCACATGAAGAGATAAACGAGCAGTATCAAGATGCCCCAATGAAGCTTTGTCCCATCTGAGAACTGTGCATTGAGCAGCCATGTGCTAACTAGACGTGATCCCAGAGATGCTGCATGGAGCTGCAAGAGGGAATCAGCCATTCTTCTCCTGAAATAACCAGAAGAGTTTCCCAAAAAACAGTAATGCACAGAGCCCAACATGCAGACTGTAAGCAACAGGGAGATAAAGGCAGAAGGCCAAGAACACCTAAATATAATACTGCTTGTGGCATTTCATTACAGCTTTTCCATACGAACCATCAACAGGATGAACTTTCTCTGATACTCTGTTACAAAATAAACCTGGGATGCTCCCTGGAAGTCAATGTTTGTGAATTCTGAAGACAGTCTCCTAAAAGCAAGGTGTCAGATCAATCCCTCTATGACAGAGAAGTGGGAGAGGCTGGGAGTAACTGCCCAATCAGCCCAGATGGTGAGCAGGTCAACAATGTGTCTGTTGTAACCAATTGGTTTGGTTTGGCAGCCAACACAGGGATTTAGGAACATCCCGGATTTAGAAGTATCAAAATAAACATCAGCAGGTTATCTCCACATAGAGGAAGCCTTTGAATACAAAATATCCCAACCTGGTATATCACTTAAGTACTTAGAAATCTGTGTTTTGAGTTCTGATCCCACCAGTCTCTAGCACGCTAAATGCTGGCAGGTACCTGTGAGTAACAGAAACCCCATCTTTCCCTAAAAACATGGTTGAAAAGGGAAAGCAAGATGCTAAATACCAATAATGCAGAAGATGGGAAGCTGGTTGCCAAACTGAAGTTATTCCCACCCGAAGCAATGCTGGATGGTTAATTTGAACCACAAAGTGATAGAAGAGGTAAGGAAAACATTCACCAATGTGCTTTTTGGAAAGAGCAAACCAGCAAAATTACAATTCTCTGAAGTATTTGCTGTTCAGCACCAAATAAATCCAACATGAAACCTTGACTAATGTGCTGAAATGTCTTTGTGAGACTTGCCCTTCTGACAGGGGCAGCTCCACTGTGCACACAGGAACAGAATTATGCCCATAGCCACTAGAAGTACAGGTGAGACAGCAACAAACACTGTCTTCTGTAAGCCTTTTGTAAGTTATTTAAACAGTTTCAGAGAAAGTTCCATTTTACTTACCCCCAACCACAAACAAACTTTATCTGTAGGAGGAACTGAAGCTTTGCAGTAGAGATTATCTGCCAATAAAAATCTGGTTTCCATTGGATTTGTGGAATCCTTAAGACAAATGATAAAACTTAAAATTGCTATTTTTCACTGGAAACTTATGTCAAAGACATAAAACTTACAGTAAAGAGCACACTTTTCTGCTTTTTTGCCATTGCTACAGTATTAACTTTGGTGGAGCTCTATGCAATTGTACATCAACATTAAAGTTAGAGCTCCAAGAATAAAGCATTTTAAAAAGATGTATTTAAAAGCAATACAGAAATCTCTATAAATAATAGATGAAGTCAAAGCTTAGCTGCAATCTATACACTGTTAACAGTTTGCATTACAAGCAGGTTTTGAACTAGCTTCCAAAAAGTACTACATACCTTTAAAAACAATTCTGTTATTTATAAAGGCATATTAAGTGTGCTCTCCAAAACATTTCTTGCAATGTGTTCTGTCAGGGTGGAAAAGTAGTTAGCTTTTCTCATACTCATAGATATTCAAAATAAGTTTACCTTTTTCTTCTGCATGTGTTTTAAAATTTCTAATGTCTGTTTAATTTCAGGAATCTGACTTTTTAGCCTGTGAATTAACAACAGTCACGTATTATTTTACAGAGACACAAAGTTTCCTAAACAAGCGAGCAGTTTTATTACACAATCCAACCTCCATTTCCAAACCTGAAACTCTAACAGCCTTCCAAGCTTCCAAATGCAGATTTGAAAGCTATGGCATGTAAAGGCACCTCAGCTCCAGCCCCACCGGCCCCGCAGCACTCTGAGGTTCATTGGTTATCTGAAGCAGAGCAATGCATACTGCTTTCAAACTGGAACACTTGCACTGACAGTAACAGATACCTCTTTGCTAAAATACTCTATTTTTGCTTATTTCTGATCTTCCCAAAGAGGGAAACCTCAGCAGAAACACAAATAAAAGACCCCTCCTTGACAGCCCCTGCAGCAGCATAATGGGCTCCGACAGCAGTGGCTGCCAAAGGCAGGCCTCCAGGTAGAAGTCAGGAGCGATATTTGTCCATGAAGGAACTTTAATCTACATAAAAATATTGCATCAAGCTATGATTTTAGAAATCTGCTTCTTGCTTGACTTCAGATCAAGACTGAAGCTATGGAGGAGAGTTGAGGTCACTGACCCAAAAGTTACAGGCTTGATACAGTCATCATTTGACAAAACTGCATTCTTATTTACCCCAGGTGACCACATTTAAGAGGCTGCAGCAGTACTGTTTGGCCTTAAAGGCTTAAGAACCAATTCAACAATACTGGAAGTTCTTTTGCATGTCACTCTCAAGAAGAGGAAAAAGAAAGCTGGGCTTTCCTCGAGGTACTACAAATATCAGCTCCCCTAACATAAAAACGTTACCTCTTGGGATATTTTAAAATAGACTTAAAACAATAAAACTATGCTACACATTTCCCAGTTCTGCAAAGATGAGGACTTACCTCCTTTTCTTTTGGGCAAGATTAAGTTCCAAAAATTTATACTTCTGATACTGCTCATCCAGCTTCTTAAGAACTACATCTGCTGTCTCATTTCCAGGCTGTTTCATAAAAGAATCTACATCTTCCTTAAAGGGGAAAAAGAAACCCTCAATGTTAGAACAGTTTTACAGCACTCCTAGATACAGTCATGCTCTCATCTTTCTGCAGCGAAGTCTAGAGGGGGTTCTAGAGGCAAATAAACTTCTTGTTCTCTGGAGTGAGGTGCAAAATCATTTACTTTCCCTTCTTAGTCAGCTTTTCAATTCCCCCTCCCCTCTTTTTTTACGGCAGGGAACTACAGGATAGATGCAAGGACTATTTCATAGCCAGATTTGCTAGTACCTTGTCAGTGGTGCTTCCAGTCCCAGCAGATGTCGAATGACACCTGACAGGGATGGGTATCCTCAGACCACTGCTAACCCCTGCTTTGCTCTCCCTACAGCAGGGATAACGCTTCTCTGTGGCTGATCAGATTACAAACTGTTCAGGATAAGACTGATGAAGGAAAAGAATCATGGCCTGATCAAGCATGTTGTAGTAGAGACACAAAGAAGAGGAAAACTGTGGTATCTGCTCAGGCAGGCTTTATGGTAGTGAACAGCTCACCTTCAAGAGCTCCTATAGCCGGCAGGAATCCATGGAATCCTCTAGAGAACAATGCCAGCCAGTCCTACCATCAGCTGGAAAAGCAGCCAGGGAGGACAGGCCTGAGCAGGCAGGGATGCTGACCTCTGCAAGTGCCTCCTTCAGACTGCAGGAAGCTCCAGCTGCCTGTGGGCAACGTTCTCAGCCTCCTGAAAGGCACGTGGGGATCAGCCATGCATTTCTGACCTTGACATTTACCCACGTATAATTCAAGATGACCCACTGCTGCAATCTGTCCTTCTTTCTCTTCATAGCTCTGTGAAACCTGAGAGAAGCCTACCACAGGCCTCTTCACTCCCTTTAACTAGGTGTTTGCATTCCAGTAGTTTCACACCAGAAAAAGACTATAACTTGCTTCTAAAGCACTATCAGACACCTATCTGGTTCCCTTCATTATGACTCCTAAGTTCTCTTGGCTAAAGAAACTTACTATGAAATGGCTGAACCTGGTGAGAACTCACCCACCTTCCTTATCAGGAAGGAAACCTGCAGCACAAATCTGAACTCCACAAGAGACTCCAGCAGGCAGCATGGTGTTAAGTGGTGCAACAGAGCCCAAGAGACCAAGTTTCAGACTAACTGCCCAAGGAATCTCTTAAGCTACCTCACCGACAACAGCAGAATAAGCATTCCTGCTTCCTCATGGAGCCTGTAGAGAAGCTTTAAACAAAGAAACCCCTAAGGATTAGATTCAGGCAAGCGTTGTACAAGTGAGGCCTGAGGATGCTCTGACATGAAACCCCCTCTTATGGAAGCTCTTCTGCTCATGTAAATCACCCAAGACAGAAGGAAAAAGCAGGTGAGCAGCAACTCACCTCACACACTGCCTGGCACCTCCTGTGCCCCAGCTAACACCTGCTTGTAGACACAGGACAGAACCCAAGTCCTCCTGAAACAAGAATGCTGCAAAGTGAATCCAAGCCCCTGCATGCTGGTGGTCTCCTACCAGTGCACAATGCCCAGCCCAAGGCAGGCTCAGATTTACCACCCAGGTTTTTCAACTGCAACGTCCAAGCCCCACTGGTTGGACTTTCAACCCATCTTACTCCACTGCAAGGCTGAGACATGGTCACTTCTTTGAGCTTGAACAGAACAGCTCTCTAGCAGAGCTGGGCATCAATGGTATTAGGATCCCTGCTTCATGGTGTGTCATGCAGCATCTCAACTGCAGAATTACCCTACAGGTTGTGCAAGGCCCTGCCAGGACTCATCTGTCTTTTTAGGAAGAAAATTCACTGGTAAACACCACTGTTGTGTACCACAGAGGTAACAGTCTTTGCTAACTTCAAGCCCTGAAATACAGCAGGATGGCACCTTCCCACACAGCCTTATGTTTATCTTTTAAGTGATGACCCAAACAAAGAGCTGCAGGCGCTCGCTCTGCTTCTGCACATCAGCACCTGTGGGCATATGCAGAGAGCATAACAAAAGAGATGTGCTCAGATTTGAATTCCCTATCCTCCCACACACACACATGCCAAGGAAAATACTTTATTTGGAAACACCTGGACAACAGCTCAAAAGAAAACAGAGTTGGAAAAGTTCTGTTTGGAGTGACTTTACAGCTCCAGTGAAACCTTGAGTTAGTGCTTCATGTCACTTGAAGTCTAGAGAGGCACAAGAATCCACAGACCAATGCCTACGAGAAGGTATTTACCATAATAAACTGTTTGAAGAGCCTCTACTGAATTGAGACACTTAAAGAAAACATCTCTGAGGACAAGATTCACCATAAGACCGCCTTTATAGCATGTGGTGGGAGGAAACATCAAGCAAGTGATCAGCAAGTTTTTATCATGGCAGCATACAACAAAACAGAAACCTACTGTCTGAAGAAAAAGCCTGTAATGAAACCACTCTCAAGACCCTGATATTTTCACTTTGTGGAGCACATACCATTAACAACTTCTTAGTGTATGCTTCCTTTGAATAAAAGAAAGTCTGTCTTAACATTGACATCCAAGTATGCTAAGATCATGATTGAGGATGTCTTCTGCAGACACATCTGTATTTGATATGAGCATCTCTTGAAACTGAGAAGTAGGAAACTTCAGTGGGTTTCAGATGCCAACACAAGGTTAAGAAGTGAACAGAAGCACAGAACAATCCCAGGTCACATCATACAGCACATACTTCAGACACAAGCATCAAAAAGGAACAACGTGGAAGCAAATAGGAGCTGCACCCACAGCTGCCAGCATGAAAACAAGGGATGTGACAGCCCCCCTCAAAGGTCTGTGGTTATCTCCTGTCCCCTACCAGCGGCCACCTCCACTGAGAGCCAGCACAGACCACACGTTCTCCTCTGTCATAAGGACGGAGGTCTCGCAGTGCAGCTGGAGCCATGGCCCTTCCCTTTCACCTGCATCCATACTAGTCTCCCATAAGTGTGGAAGGAAGTGGGGCACAGGTAGCAACACTTTTACATCCCAGTAAGATTTGCCAGACCCCAAGAACTGTTAAAGAACCTTAAAGAAAAAGCAGGATCTGGATGCACTGAATTCCAGGGCACTGTATGTATTTGTTCAGGACCTACTTCCTGGGAAGATACAGAGTAACACGGGTACTACACCTAGAAATACCAAAATGCAAGTCAAATCCATTCATCTCTGCAAGAACAGTCACAGCTGACCAGTTCAAACAGCTCTGGTAAAGATGTCAGCACAGATCTGAGAAATGCAGGTTTATCTCAGTAATAAATCTCAGCACAAAGCAGCACAATGACTGACGTGTTCAGGGCAGATGTCAGGCGTTCCAAGATGCGACAAAGGCAACCCAGGTACAGCCAGTGTGATCGATACTTATTGATCAAGTGAGATAAAGCAGCAATCAGAGCCAGCCCACAGCAGAGTGAACAGATACCTTTGAAACCATGTCACTGTGCCATCGATGAGTTCTTCTTTCCAACCAGTCAACAGATTTATTAAGCGCTTGGGAAATCGCCTTTTAAAGTCAGATAAACGGGTTCAGCCTGTTCTCCAAAAACACGCATTTGCTGGTTTGCAGGAAACCAGCCTGGCACCGCAGTCACTGCCAGAGACCGATTCAGCCCCAGTCAAGAACTAGATTATGAGGGGAAGACGCAGGTAAAGGCGCTGGCAGTGCGGTACGGCATTGCTGGAGATGAAACAGAACGGGCTCTGCGCAGGAGGAGCCGCTGTGAGGAACCACGCCTCAGTGTGTGCGATGGGAGGGCTCATTCGTAACACCCTCTTCGCTGGCACGTGAGCTCGATAGTGAACTGACATGATACCGCTTAAAACCAGGACCGGAGCCTGCCGCGAGGAGGGAATACAAATAACGCCACTCCCCCCCTGCAACCCCTCAGGACTCAAGGCACCCCCAGCCCCCGGCACCCTGCCCCTCCTGGGGGAAGAGAAGCGCTCCGGAACGGGGCTCTCCCTGCCGAGACCGCAGAACGGCCGCGGGCAGGGCCGGGCCCGCGGGACGAGCCCGGGGCGCTGTGCGGGGGAGCGGAGCGGAGCGGCGAGGAGGTGAAGGTGCCGCCTTCCCCCGGCCGCGGCGGGGCCGCTCCGCAGCACAGCGGAGCACAGTGAGGAGCAGCCCCGCCGCCCGCGCGTCCCCGGACACCGCCCGCCCGCCCGCCAGGCCGCGGCCCCGCCGCAGGAGCCGCCTCACAAGGAAAGGGCCCGGCTGCCGGAGCGCGGCTCCCACTCCTCCTCCCACCCCCGCCGGCGCTCGGAGCGGCCCGGCCGGCGGAGCCGCCGCTCACCACGAAGACCGCCTCGGGGATGCCGAGGGGGCCGCGCTTCCCGCCCGCCGCCGCCTCGCCGCACCCAGTCTCGTTACTGGTGGCCGCCGCCATCTTGGGAACCGACAGTGCGTGCGCGGCCGTCCCTGGGACGCCAGGTCTACGTCACACGCCGGAGCCGAGCGCGATCCCATCCATTGGCTGACAGGCTGTGTGTGACGCCGTGACGACAGAGCGCGCGGTAGGCGGAGCGGCGGCCGTCCCAAAGCGCCGCCTGTCGGTGGGGTGGGGTTAGGGCAGCCCCTGCCGCCGGGCCGGGACGCTGCTGTCCCCGCTGCCCCTCGGCCGCTCCCGCAGCGGTGGAGGAGCCGGGTCCCCGCCGTGGGGCGGCTCCGTGCCGGTGTGACACTGCGGAAGCCGCCGGTTAAACAGCTCCAGCTCCTGCCTGGAGACAAAGCGCTGCTGCAGGTGAAGGGGCAAGAAAGCAGCGACTGGAAGTACTCATTTCTAACGCAGGAATGCGGCTCGGGAACAGCGCGACACCGGCGGGACCCCGCCTGTACAGAACGTCTGAGGGAGCCAGCAACGTCTGACGTTGGGGTGGGCTTGTCCGCTTCGCTGTGGGGCTCCTCAGGAGGGAGCCCGCGGTCACCCGTGACACAAACGGCTTCACCCCGCGCAGGTAAAACGCACCACGGCTTCCCGAAGGAACCAGGCACCCGGTCACGTTAAACTGCCCCAGAACCCGACACCCCTCACACCTCAGTAACGCAAAGGCAGCGCAGCAATACCTCCGCCGCAGAACGCCCTAACCCGACGCTTCCGAAGCCCCGCATGCACCCGAGGCACCCCTCGCACCCGAAGCACCGCACGCACACACCCGCTCTGCATGTGCCAAAGTTTATTTTTTTTCCAAAACTTGTTTCATCAAATAACGGGATCTGAGCGGTCTTTAGAAAACGAACAGTTCGTGTATTAACAAATTGAGACCCCCCCAGTTAAAACACCCACACAGCCAGGCTTGTGCTTCAGCGTCTGTGTTAAAAAAGTGAATTCACAGAACGTAAACCCCCAAAATGGTTTCCAGTTTGTGGCGAGTGCGTTTCCCACACATTCTGTATTCTTATAAAATGAAGGAACCCATGTAAGGAAACGGCTGTACAAGAATGCATTGGAAAAAAGCCCAAACAACCTAAATTAGAGTAGCTCCTTTTAAATAAATAGCCAATAAAAGGCACAAACCTGTTATGGGGAAAAACATAACGTACAAAACAAGACCTATTAAATAAATAATGTAAAGTGGGGGTTGGGGTGAGGGAAATCTGTTCCAGCACCGATTTTGTCATTGCTCCAAGACGGAATTTCCAGCCAAACATTTGGTGAAGGATTCAACTCAATCACAAGGATACACGCTTGAGATACACCGAAAGAGCCCACGTTACAATTCCTGTTGTAACTGTACCAGTTACTACAATCTCTTTAAATAAATGGTCATGAGGATCTGCATAACGTAGCGATGCGGTAATGTATATAGATCAATGACAAGATACATCTTCAGAGTAATAGCAACAGGTTTTCTATACTCCTAGCTATCAGTAATGTATAAATGATAACATGTACAGTTTCCATTGCTCAAAAATATAATCTTTTAAATGGAAATAAATGACTGATACACAGTGCCTTTAGATGTTTTCCTTACGATACAAACTACCCCAAACAAAGTTTTGTTTTTTATGTACAAATTAAGCACCGATCCACAGTGCGTACTACTCTAATTGTAACACCCCCCCCCCACCACACATCAAAAACCCAGATGTGGATACACCCTGTATTCAGTCTCGGAGTACGAAGGTTTTCTGTTGGTTTCTGTGTGTTTTTTTCCTTAAACAAAAGTCCATGTGTTATTTTCACCTATGAGTGTTCCACCGCCATGTGCACAGAACTGAGGTTGCTCTAGTACAGGAGTCCAATGTTTAAAAAAATTCAGTAACTTCTTGGAGGCAAAGTCAAACTATTCCTAGAGAACATTAGAAAACCCCAGTTACTTAAAAAGAGGTACACGTTCCAGTCCGACACACAATCAACCTCTCCAGGTTCCCCCAGAAGCTATGGTATATCCCACACAACAGCCTCCCTGTAGCAGCAGCAAGTCCCAACAGTCAGGCTTGAATGACCCTCTGAAGTACAATAACGCAAAGCACAGCATACTTCACAAGTCGTCCTCCTTATTCAGACAAACCCAGAGCAACATCTTAAGCCAACTACCTGCTCTCTGAAGCATTCAGAACAGGATTCTGATCAAACCAGTTGGAAGGAAACAAAAGGGAAAGTCACATTTATGTACATCTCTCTTCAGTGTTTTACTCATCACTATTCACAACTGCTGCGGAACAACCTTTGTCTTCAAAGTGGTTTGGTTTTTTTTGGAGAACAAGATCTGAGCCATAAAAGCCTCAACAGCATCCCAAGTCCTTGGGTTTTACTTCTAACGTACGGATTAGATGATTTACAAACACAGCACTCTGCCATTTCATGTGTTCCAATACGTGCACAAGGAAGAGGCTGGCAAAAGCAGTCCTGTGCACCTCTCTGCAGAGAGAAGCGTCTCAGTATTTTCTTCATAAGGATAAACCTGAACGCCGTGGTTTAATGTATCAAACATTCTAAATGAGACTAAAAAGAAGGTAGCTCACAAAGTTTCTAGGATGTACTTGGTGGCTGTTTCTCCTTTTATAATACTAAATAAATTGGTATCAGACAGCTTTGCTACAAGAAAGCATACCAAAGAACCATTAAAAAAAATCCAGAGCAAATCAGATATGGTGCAATACACCTAGGACTAAATCTGAGCCATGTACATTCCAGATGGTCAGAAAGCTCTGCAATAAAGTTCTGTTTGCCAGGCATTTATTTGCATATTTCATTAAAATCACGGATTACTACTTACACAGCTCAGTATGAGAGACCCAACAGCTCACAGCGCTAGGAACTGCCTGCTGGTAGCGCTCTCAGCTCTGCCAGTAATGCCCAGACATTGATTACTGCATGTACTGCTCTAATTTGAACTCGAGACCTTTCAATGATGAATAAATCAATGGAATTCACTAATTCTTAAACAAACACAACACAACGACCCACTCTAAATGGCATCTCCTCCCTCATCACGTGGAGGGTAACTATAGGCACTGAAGAACTCATTGGCTTAAAATTGTACAACTGTTCAACCCAATAGAAGTGGATTAAAGCTTGAAGCCCTTTGTAATTCAAACTTGAACATCAAATTGCTACACACCAGTCCAAATTCTTAAAATAAAACCAAAATCAAAGCACATTCAGGAACTCCTTGGTTTAAATCTCTGCAGGGTTACATGTCCCTGGAAGTCAGTGGTTACAGATTCCAAGGGCTGGGGGATGGTTTTTTGTTTTGTCACTTTTGAGTTGTTTCACTTGGGAAAAATATTTCCATAGGGCTAAAAATACTATTTTTGCACTCTTTAGACAGAATTAAGCATTTAGGAAGCAGGAATATGAGCAAAATGTGGTATTTTAGAAGTTCTCTGCAGGACAGTTTGACAAATTCCTCAGGCCTATCATAGTGAGAGTCAGAGATAGTTCTGCAATTATAGACTCCCCAGAGCTAAAAGACATGCTGCTTTGGAGGTCTATTTATTGCAACAATAGAAAACTATTATTTTATTTGAAAACTCAGCTTTAATATTAATCATGAGTAGAAGTGATTTTACAGGAGAGCTTTTCACTGAACTCTGCCGCAAAACTTCTGGAAGAAAGGTTGCTCCCAACTCCATTTACTTGATTAACAATTTTTTTCAGTTGTTTTAAAGGTATCACTTTTTATCAGACACTGGAAATAAAAGATAAGGCATTTCCACAGCCAACTGCAGTTCTGGAGGAAGATTGGTAAATACAAAAGACATGCCACAAGTCTGTACGCATCATGAACAGCGTACTTCATAAATTAGTTCATTTAAAAGATTTTCCTCTCAAAGAGAGTCTGGATTTCTTAACATAGCATTTTAACCTTGAAATTACTACAGAAGAAAAAGATTACTGCAGCATTAAAGAAAAGATTATCTAAAAGTTTGCACATATTTACATGTTTAAAAATAATTACTTTTATATGATTTACAACTAGGTTCTTATTTCAGAAAAGCAGCACAAGCTATTCCCTACAGCCAGGTAATTTCCATAGAGGTGCCAGGTCACAAGTGGCAGCACTATTGCAAGGTTTGCTTCTTTTGACCAAACGGACTTTGTAGAAAAAGTTGGATCTCTTGCCTCTTCTGCACTTAGATTTTCAAATTGCTCCCACCTGCTGCTCCCGGGGACCTGGCATTCACTGGCTCCCAAAGTTACTCTTCTTGAGCTATGAAAGACACTATCTGCAGAGAAGATACTCGATGGAAATGCAGCTACTGCCACTGGTCAGAGGCTGCACGTGCCATTCTGTAACACACTTGTTTCCCCTGCTCCATTACAGGCTTTCAGCCCACCACATACCAGTGGAGCAATCTATTATTTTTAATATATATATATGTAATGTAATATGTATATATCTTGTTGATTCACAGCATTTCAAACTCACATTATAAAGTTCGCAAATTGCTATAAGCTATCCTAATGTGAAAAAGCTGTCTGATTTCACACAATATTGGCCTTATGATAATGCAAGCATTACTCTATCAGAGTATTCATTAGAGCACATAAAAATTTTATTGCTCGACTTCATTTGTGTTGTGTCTTGGTTACAACAGCCACAGAATTTGTATGGAGAAAATAAATAGCTTTGATATCCTCTGTTAACTTCCTATGGTAATCCACTGATGAGTAAGGTTGCAGAGCAATCATGATACCCCTCCATCTCAGCTCTGAAGATGATAATTCAGCTTGAACCTTCTGAGTCAACCTCAATAAAATACAGTTTTCTGCTGAGCAGTTTGAAGGAAGAAAAAAAGATCAGTGAACAAACATTCACACTGCAGTGACTGTTATAAACAAGAACCTTGAAAGCATTGAAATTCAAACTAATATTGTATTATACAGGGAAGAAACAGTTGCCCTGTTCAGGAATACATCATGGAAAGATCAAAATTCAGTCTTGTCTTTTTTTGTGGTTTTTTTTTTACCAGTATTTGGTTGTTCTCACATCTTGCTGCTTTGGCGGCTCTACATAAACTGTATCTGTGAAGCAGAGATTACATATTAGTCACATCACACATGGCTCCCCAGTGGTTTAATTATGATCTATTCAACTGCCTTCTTGCAAGGTTTGACTTTAAAAAATCCCCAAAGAACATGAAGATGAACATATTTGGAGTACACAGTTTCTTCAGCTTGAATCACCTTGTCCGTGCCTTTTTCACTTCCTTTCCTTCAGGAAGCTGTCACCACCTCTCTAGTCAGCATGACTAAACCAAGCATCCAGCTTATATCACAGGAAATCTAAATTCTATGTATCTTCACCACTCCCATTTTCTTAATACTGACACAGTGAGGAGTTAGCCACTAAATCTGATTTTTACTTTCTTCCTGCATTTACATGCTCTCACTATCTGAATTGGCTTCCTCGCCAGCCAGCAAAAGCTGTTGCCCTTGACGGAGGAGCTCCCACTTTCAAATGAAGAAATACATTAGTAGCCCTTCATGAAGCATTTGCTTGGTTTTACCAAGACTAAAGTTTCAATGTGATGTCAAGATTAAGGAAACCACTTCACCTGAGTTTCAGAAACAGGTGCAAAAGGGTTTGTTGGCCTTAGACCAGGCTGTGTATACATCATTGTCTGGGGTGCCATCAAAGGAGCAGCTCCAACCTGAGGAGGTACCTGTTAGAAAAAAAGCAAACCCCCCACAAAACAGATATATAAAATTCAAACTAATTCTAGTAGATCTTTTTGCTTTGTGAGTAGTAGAAAACAAGCATGTAAACACACACACGTAGTAAAGTCAGAGCTTTTTAAAACCACGCTGTACAGCATTTGGAGCAATGTTTTCCAAAGCACAGTGTGACAAAGCCATCAGGTTTCACACACTATCGATCTTTTGAAACAATACATATAAGTTACAGAATGATTTCACTATAATAATGCCAACCATGAAACCCACTGGAGGAGACAACTCGGTTTTTCAGGAATACAAAGACAATTCCATTTCTTACCATTCCGTATACAGGCACTTGAGGTGTGGTCAGTGGGTATGTGATAGGAGCAGGTACCTTCAATCAAGAAAATCTTCATGTTAGATAAGCTCATGCATGCTGGTAATAGATACAAAACTGTAAAAAACATCTATTTTTCAATACTTAAAATAACCAATGTATTTACAAGAAATTGACTTACATATCCAGGATAGTGTACTCCATTCTGGCACAGCAAAAGGAGTAAGGATAGAAAATTATTTAAGAGGTATTTGAACTGGAAATTCTAACCATGGGGTGGATTCAAGGCCAGAACTGTCTCTAACTATGCTCAACTCATTTATGAAAACAAAGCAGGAGGAAAAAAGTGCAAGGAAGTAAGATCAGTAACTAAGCCTGTTAACTTGGACAGGCTCTCTGCCTAGAAAACTATCACTAGTAAGACTAGAATGTTTAAAAGATCCAGCCACATTTGAGTATATTGCTTGCACAGACATTTGTGTGAGAAGCTGTTGGAGGGCATGGAATACTCCTTCTGCCTCCCTTTATGCGAGAGAAAGGCAGAGGAATAAAGAAGCCAGTGACCATTCAGCTTGAGAAACAAATAGTCAGGTCAATGTTGCTGACATACTGGTTTCTGATGTCTGCAACATATCACAATATGAAAAAAGAAAAATGAAGAGCATCTTAAGCTGATAATAGCTTGGAACAGGCTATGTTCACAGGCATAGTGATGCATGCACTTCACTTCATATTGCCATGCAGTGTTAAGTAGTGCTCACTGTATTAAAAAAGAAGTGCTAGTTCAAATGCTTCTCTACGAAAGAGTATGGAGACTAAACATGAATTGAATGGTTGGTGCTCTGAATACCACAGACCAAGCTAGGGCAGTTAGAATCAGTGTCCCAGTATTGGAAAGATGCTCATAGCTGAGCTATTAAACATGAACACATGAAATAAAAACACAAAACCCAAATCCACAGTGATCCATGTATGCTCAGGTATCCTTTAGCCTCCAAAAATAAAAACACATCAGTGTTCTAACAGGTTTGAGAGCTCCAAGTGGGGATAAAAAGGTTTTATGGTCTCACAAGTTTCACGTAAGTGCTATACAACTGAGACATCCTCTCATCTGAATTCTGATTTTTGTTTAAGACCAATACTGGATTTAAGATTCTATTCAACTCTGATAATTCTGAATGAGCATACTCATGTAAGATGAGGAAAATAAGCACTACAAGCAAAGCTACTATTATCGGAAAATAAAAGTCAGACAAAGAGCAGTCCAAAACTCATGTAGTAATTGCCCTAGCTGTCCCTCTAAGGCAGCTGTATTTCAGAAGGGGTTTGTATTTGTATGAATACTTGAACAAAATTCTTTTAAAAGAACAGGGAAAGTCAGTTGCTACAAATATCTCTCCAAGGAATAAAAATTCTTCATTTAAATAACTATAAGCTTCCACTTAGTATTTTGTACTGTGTTAAAAATAGGAAGTTGCTGCTGAGCACTACCGAAAGGCCGAAGTGCTGCTTGACCTGATAATTAAAGGTTGCAGCAGTGTTTCATGTGATAAAATTGAAAAAGGAATGAAAAGTGGAAGGAACAGCAGTTTTGCCCTTGAAATACATTTTTAGATCTCTTTAAGGTGCATGTGTGTGTGGCAGGGAGGGGAGGGAGGATGGGAGCATCTCAAACATGCATGTGAGAAATTTTCTGGTTTGAGGTCATTTGTTTCAATTCCAAAAGAATTTATGAACTGAGATACATCTCAAGTGAAAGGCTGATTATTCAGGTCTTTAACAGACAAGTTCTACATTGAGTGGAAATATAATATACTAAAATCTCTACCTTATTCAGTTTAACAATCCTACAAGCATTCCCCACGGCCCCCACTCTTGTCCCAGGCAGCCTTTGCTATACTTTTAAAGTTAATACAAGTAGGGAAGTAGCATTTGCTAGAACAAAGTGTGATTTCAATAATAGAGGAGTTACCATATGTGGAATAGAGGGTAAGGGAGTAGGGCTCCATGTGGTCAATGTGTTTGTTTTTGCTTGCCAGTTCGTTCCACCAGTAAGTTTTTTCTCTGTAGGCTGGGTCCACTGCATATCCGATCTACAATGAAACTGTGCTATTAGTTCTCAAAGTCAACAACTAGAGTAACAACAACATAATGGAAAACCAAAACATGCCTTAATACAGGTACACAGCTGAAATCTACAGGTAGAGGAAACACTGAGGATTTCAGTAACTACTCACGGTTCAAGTATGATGTCTGAGGGTTCTGATTTATGTTAAAAGTAAACTATCATTACTGCACTGTACAGCATAATTAGAGTTTTATGTAACTGCAAGATCTTCTATGGTGCTTCATAAAATACTTACATAAAAATACAGTAAGTGCAAAACTAAATTCATTGAACTGCTTCCAAGTTAAGGTTGACCATTTTGGAGTAACTGACCACGATCTCACTGTTTCATTGCTGGTTTTGGTACCAGATTACTTTCAAGAGTTGAGACTCTTGCCATGTTAGTGCTGGTAAACTGCCAGAGACTATCAAATACTCATGTGGGAACATTATAAGTACATGTATGCACTTACTTTTTGGGCGGAGTTCCTCCAAAGCCAAGATCTAGGGGGAGAGGGAAGGGAGAAGAGAAACAGACAAAATCCTTAAGTTTTGGGTTGTTTTTTTGGGTGGGGGGAAGCTTGTTTTGTTTTCAGTAACAAATGGGAAAGTTAAGATTTAAAAGCTTCATACTTACTTCCCACTAGATTAGCAAGTGAAGAATCGAGGTCATTTGCCAGAATTTTTCCATTCTGCTGGCTGGCTAAAGGGGCTCTTTGACTCTGTGGTGGTCCTGTGGGTTGCAATACATCATCTAGAAGGGTAAAACCTAAAGGAAGAACAAAAAAAGCAACTGTTAACCAAAGTTCCATTGCATTTCACAAAATACATCCATAAGCCATCCATTATGGCATCCATAAGCCATACATCCATTCCATCCATAAGGGAGGTATTTTCTTTATAGAACACAAAGTAGTTTGACTATTTACAAGCGGAGGTTCGACATGCTGAAAGTGTTTAACACTTGGACTGAAGCATAAATTAACCTCTGGGTTTTTTTGTACAATCCTATACTGTAGCCACTAATCATTAGAATCTTTAATTTTCTTCATCAGTAACTGATGTTATTTTTAAATTCAGATGAATGTCCTCAAACTGAAGAAGGGAGGTTGTTAAAAGACAGTTTCTAAAATGGTCTTGTAAAAATAAATCAGCAATTTCATGATACTGCTAGTATCCTGAATGTACGCAAGAGTTCCTTTGCTGTATGTTCATAAGGACTTTGAATACATAGTAAAATACCAACAACCAAGAGAAAGATCATAATTCAGCTATTCTTCAAGCAGCACATTTTTATATATACATTTATAAATATATTCTACATAAAGTACAATGCATTTCAATGAAGTTAGAGGAAACTCATTATCATGTATCAAAAGAAAACACTGAAGTCATAGGCACTGAAAACAGACTAACATAAACTTACCAGTTAAAAGATATCCAGAGGGCCACATTCAAAGTTCATTCCCCAAAAGAGGAGAAGAAACAGTTATTATTACAGTATACGCGATTACACAAAGCTAATTTTAACTTGACAATCAGCTCAATTGTAATTATCTATCAGCTCTATAATCAGCTTGCAAATGTACTATGCTCTTAAAGTTGGAGCCAGTCCAGAGGAGGCCACGAAGATGTTCAGAGGGTTGTAGTACCTCTCCTATGAGGAGAGGCTGAGAGAGCTGGCCTTGTTCAGCCTGGAGAAGGCTCTGAGGAGACCTCAGAGCAGGTTCCAGTGCCTAAAGGGGCCAACAAGAAAGCTGGGGAGGGGCTTTGGACAAGGGCCTGTAGTGACAGGACAAGGGGGAATGGCTTAACCTGACAGAGGGGAGATTTAGATTAGGAAGGTGCTGGCACAGGTTGCCCAGGAAAGCTGTGGCTGCCCCATCCCTGGCAGTGTTCAAGGCCAGGTTGGACAGGGCTTGGAGCAACCTGCTCTAGTGGAAGGTGTCCCTGTCTATGGCAGGGGGCTGGAACTGGATGAGCTTTAAGGTCTCTTCCAACCCAAACCAGTCTGTGATTCTAAATTTAAACTGCAATAGCAATTATGTTAAACTGTTAAGCAAGTGTTGCCTGGAGGGTATAAATTAGTCATGAGCTGGTTGTTACCATTTGTAGTCCTGTACTCTGGTGCTGTAGATTTTCCTCCAAAAACAGCATCAAAGTCCACGTTAATTGTTGGAGGAGCTGAATGAAGAGGAAAACCTGGAAAAAAATGGTTAGAGTATTCAAATACGGCCATGGAGTAATGCCACTCATCACAGTCAAACTAGAAAGTTAAAAAATATTAAATTACCATCAACAGTCAGAGGATGACACACAGAAGCATATGTAGGTGTTTGACCACTAAAGTCATCTTTGTAAAAAGAGAGAAGAAAATCAGATCAGTTTGAAAGAGAAAAAGAAAGAAGAGAATCAAAAATTAAGTCTTTGTTTTAGAGTTTTTAGTGATAAATGAGGATTTTTTTTTATTGAACAAATTTGAAAAGCTCAAGCGGCTCCTGCATTCCCCATTACAAAACAGCAGAAAGGTTGCAGTTTGAAAGGAAGCAGCAAAAATTCCAGCAACATTACAAGCCTTAGGGTATCTATGCTGGGCAAGCTGAACACAATAAGGAGTTGTTTCAACTATAGAAATAAATTTTTAAGGAAGCATATCTTTTGCTACGTCTAGAATTACTGCACCATTTTCACTTTTTAATAAAAGTGAAGATAGGTCCAAAGCACAAAAAGATTACAGGGCCCAGTTTTTTAGCATAATCATCACCAGTTGCAAAGAAATGAGTTTTGTTTGGTTAGGTTTTTACCACTAAACAGTTCCACCGTTTGTTTGGAGGAAAAAGCAGAATTGATGAAAGGGGTGGCAGATTTTACAGCTTCTTCAACTGGCTTCATGTCAAAGATGTCCAGATGAGGTGGAGAACCAACACAACCATTTGAGGACGAGAAAGGACCTTTCAGGTGCAGAAGTGAAGGAAAGAATACAGAGTACAAATAATGGAAAAGGAAACCAGACTGAAATGATTGAATATGAGAATCTCTAGACAAAGTCAAATCCTAAACATTCCACCTAGTGATCTGCCCATTAAAAGATTCAAATTCTTAGTTTCAGATTAAAAAAAAAAAAAACAAACTAACAGCTCTATTTAGGGAAAATAGTTGTAGTATTGCCATTGGGTGGGAGAGGAAGAATGACACAACATTCACCAATCAAAAAAGCTAGCAACTACATTTCTGGCTTCAAGAATCTACCTTTTAAATAGCACATAAAGGTAATCAATTCTACCTATTAAAATACCAACACTTACAATAGTGTTAACGTTGTCTTATTTCATCATTTAACACATTTCTTTGACATCTATCCTCATTATACGTTGGAAGGATTGGTGAGAGTACAGAGAACTTTGTGCACAAGAAGCTGAAAAGAACAGCTATGTTGTAAGAACTCTGAAGTCACCAACATCTTTTAAATGAAAAGTATATTAAATATCACTTAATGGAATGGGAATACTAGTCCAGCATCTTTTCAGTTACATCTGGTTAGTTTGTATTTCCCAGCATCTTTACACTTTAATTTTCTTAGTTACATTTCTTCTATCTGTTCCCTTTTATTAAATATCTCCATTTTATCTACTGCAAATTGACACTACTGCTATGTGTTAAAAAAGGTAACTTTTCTGTAACAGTTCACCAGAGCTTTCAGGTGACTTATATTTGGTCAAGGACAGAAATGTTTGGATGCAAAGTAATTAAGGTTTAAGATGCACATTCAACTAAATATGAATTTGTATTTTATTCCTGTATTCCAAGAATTCACCTACTGCTTAGTCAAATCATGGTATCAGCTCACCTCCCCAAGCACTGCTTGGTGATGTGGGTATAACTGGAGTACTCTGCACAGCTGGAACAAACGCAGGCTGAAGATCAAAAAGGTCACTAGAAAGGTTGGGCATGCTGAATAAGAAGAGAGAGGGAAACATTAAGATGTGTAGTAGGCACTGTATTCCTGTGTTGTATGAACATTCACACCCATCTGACTTTCTCTTATTTACTAACAGCCCACCAATAATAGCAATACAAAACAAAACTAGTAATTAAGTACTTATTATTGGCTGTAACCAAAATTTCTGGGAATACACTAGGAAAGCATCAGCAAAAGGTTATTCTGGAGAAGCACTTGAGAAGCTGCAATTGCTTTGCAGCTGACTGTGGAGCTACAGGCCAGTGCAGTAATTTCTGCTGGCTTCAGAAAGCCAAGTATCTCTCACCTATTTGTTGTGGGTGCTGGTACTGAAAAGAGGTCAACAGCTACAGTGGTATTCACACTTTTTTCTGATAAGGTGCTTGGGGATGCTGATCTGGAAACGGAATTCGATACTACAGAAATCTCTCTTAATCGCTGCTCCTGAAAGATGAGATACACAGTTTGTATTTTTGTCAGGAAAGAATCTTCAATAGATCTCTATAATTCCAGAGACAAACCAACTCTGCATTACCATTAAACTTTGCTTTCACACTCCAAATAGTTTTAAGATGTGACCTCCAGATGACATGAGCAGAGTTGCTTTATTGTTAAGGCATGTGTAGAGATGTTAAGGCAACGCAAGAAAAATTTCCAACTGCCCCACTTGTATATGCCTGGGACACAACAGAATTACAGACTTAGCTTTCACCAAGAGAAGCATTTTGCCATGACTGAGATTTTATAGTGAGTATGTTCTCAGGAAACAGTATTATAAATGGGTTAAAGGGACCTAAGGACCAGGATTCAGGCCTTAGTAGAGAGGTATTATCAAGAGGACTACTCAACAAGTACCAATGAGCAAACAAAAGCACATCAAGGAACCAAGAGAGAATACAATCCAAATGTTACATGTTACCACACTTCAAATATGTTATTATTCAAAGTCCATGAATTATACCTGAACATGTATGAGTTCAAACTGCTTTTCAAAGTAAACTACAGAATTATAAATAAGAGCAGTTAAATGTGGGCAGAACTATAGCATATCCCCTCATTGTGAGCAACATGACTGAAGAATCACACTAAAGCCATATTCCATACATCATGGGGAAAAGTAACTCCCTCCTACCAATAATCAGTCTTACGACAGCAATGCTGTATGTTCAGCTGCTAAGATGTAACCTAGAATTGTTGTACTCTCATTTTGTGAATCTTTGAGATAAATAACAATCTCCTGTAAAGAAGAATATAAATGATCTGTATTAGCTGCCTCCTATTCAAGTCATACTCCTGGTAAAAGAGTCACCACATACTTCTAGCAGCCATTACACCTACATCCTACAGAATCATGCCTTGGTCTCTCAAGGTAAGAGGTTCACTATACCACCCCCACCCCTAAATTTTAAGCCAAACTTGGTTTCTACCTGTATACAGTTAACCCTCCAATAAATCTCAGAATATAAACTTGTAAAAAATATAGTACCTTAAGTGCCTGCAGTCTAGCTTGCTCCTCCTCCAATGCCTGCTGTTTTTCTTTCTCATCCATCTTCCTAAACAGCATTCCTGTACAGGCAAGTGTGGAGACAGCCCTGGATAGGGCAGTAGCTCTAAAAAAAGTAATGATTTAAAAAAAGTTTTATTAAGAAGCAGTCAGATATACATCACTGATAGTGCAATCATCAAGTGCCTTAGTCGTGTGTCACTCCCCCTCCATTCCAGTCTTTTCTGTAACAGAGTAAGGGAAGAAAAGCAGACACCCCAATAATGAAGTTTGGTGAAAAAGAAGTGTGAGTACACAGGATTACTTCCTCAAGTTTCAGCAGGTAGGAACTGGAAAGTGCAAAACATACCAGCTGTCTTTTTTCTTTAAGATCACACAGATTAGATTGGAATTCTGTTCTATTCAAGTGACAGAGACACAGAAAGCTTGTTTGTACATATTATACATATAACAGTGAATAAAGCAAAGTTATCCCCTATAGAGTATAGTTTTTAGCAGAGTATTGTGCAGTAAATCCTCAGATACTTGCAAAACCACACAAAAAACCTGAGGAATAAGACAGCAACTCAGGAATGTAGCTTACACTGATACATTTATTAACATCTACCACGTTTCTGTGGGAGAATGCCTAAGCCAAAAGATCTCTCTGACTCTTCCATCAGAAGTACTTACTGTTCATATGTATTGATACTGTACTTGACAGAAAAAAACCCAACAAAGTTTCTGTCAGCACAAAGCATCTCAGCTAATTTGGCTGTTCTGAGAAGGGATCAAAGAACTTCTATGAGTAGGTTTTAAGATAATTTCAGTCTGAGAGGTGGACAATGGACAATGCAGATACATGCCATCCTATCCTGGGTAAAAAGAGCCTCAAAACCCAAATACCTTAGAAGGCTTATAAGCCAAAGGACTTGAAACAAGTAAAAGCTAAAAAGAATAATCTACAAAGTCTCAGCTCAGTGGTTTATTACAGCATAATACTCTGTCAGAGCTACAGGCAGACATACCTAGATTTCAAATATGACTAAGCTATCAGACTATTACTCACTAGATGCTTCACTTATACTTTTAGGAAGATATATTTGGAAATGAATAAAATTCGAGAACACCAAATGACTGAATCCTGAAAATTCTTAGCATGAAGATGACAAATCCCAAGTATGGGCAATCATTGTAATTCACTGGCTGCTCACCTGATGGCAGCGGAGACTTCTTTAGTTTTCTTTCCCTCTACAGAAGCCAAATGCTGTTCCAGTGCTTCAAGTAAGCTGCTTGGTGCCTAGTAAAAGTATTTATAAAAAGAAAGTTAAAGTACTTATAAAACATTGCTTCTAGACAACACATCATTGTTTAGTACACAGATTAGTTTCCACATCCATTAAAACCAAACAAAATCTCATACACCAGTAACTGTGCCATCCTGCACATCAGTTGTTCTTTAAATGTTCTTCAAAAGGAGCAGCACAGAGACATGAAGCATATTCTATGCTTACTGTTTCTAAAACCTTCTAAACAACCCCTTCAACCATAAAGCCTAAAGACAACCAACCAGTAACTTCTCTGAATTCTCTCATTGCTGCAGACATCCAACAACATCAGAGATGAAATTCTTCGTAGTTTTATGTCAGGGAAGATGTCTGGGCTAACCCAGATATTATGACTTGAAACAGGCTGTATTTTATGACTCAGCCTCCCTCTCCCCACCCAAAGACATCTGACAGACTGACATCCAGAGGAAAATGACCCAGTTATGTTCATGAAATACAATTACAGCTATAAAAGAAAAGTAAACAACATCACTGTGAAACAGGGCACCTACGAAGGGAAACATTTTCTATATAGGAGCTGGCAAAAGTGGCAGTAGTGTCAACATCAGTATCAAGGAAGGAAAACAGTTATACAGCAGCAGTAATAATAAACCTCGAAAGAGATAAACCCATTGTTGTCAAGAGCCGTTTAAAGAAACTCTGAAACATGCATACCCCAGAACAGAATAATCACCAGAAGCATAAACAAAGTATTAGGAGATAGATTAAATATGGTAGACCAGAGTAGAATCAAAGACATGATCCTGCCAGAACATATTTCAGAAATGTAAGCACACAGAAAATCAAATTTCTGTGAAAGCCTGGTATTAAGAAATTTCAGCAACTTCTTTTAACATGGCACTAAATGGATGTACAATTATTCAACTCATAATAAATGCCAAGAAATTTACTATAGAAGTGAACTGCTTAACAGCGGCACAGGAGTTGTGGAATACACAGGATGCTGACATGCACCACCACAGTTCAGAGCTGCCTTTCACATTTAAGTGCACTTACAAGAAAACAGCCGAACTATTAACTGAAAGAAAAAGTTGTCAGAACAGCAGCTATAAAGGGTTTATGCTCACTGAAAGTTTCGGATATAAAAAGCAGTAAAATGAAGTTTCAAGTAAAATGAGAGAAAAAAAATTGCTTTGAAGAGCCTTATAATGACCCAATTAACCAGACAAGTGCACACAAACCCAGTGAATTACCACTTCAGACTTGAATATGATTTGATTAGCATAGTACAGACCAACTGAATACTGCAGTAATAGTCAAAGACTAAGATGCTGAGATCAAACACCAACAGAAAACATCAAACTACTGTTTTCATTCATTCTCTGCTCTTACACTGCTGGTGTCAGTCTTATTTCTTTCCTAGAACAAAGGCCTAGAAGTTCTTAAAGGTCTTAATATTAATTGCTAGGAGTAAGCACTAAAGATTTGTATTTAAAACATGTATTATTTCAGATGGAATGTTACTGCCAACTGGAACGTTGGCAACAACACTGACAATGGAAGCTTGTGGTTTCAATTTGACTTCCATATTAAAAAGACACTGGCAAAGTTTAGGCAAATCTTCACAGTAAATATATTTTTACACATGAAATTTAATTTTGTGAGGTGGTGCAGGATTAGATGTGGCTGTTCAAAAGTTTACGTGTTAGATTTTAACTGTTTCACACTGGCTCCATTTAAACAGCCTGCGTACTCTAAACCTCTAAGGCACTCCAGTTTATTGCCAGTCTCCTGACAGACTGCCATTTATTCTGCTCATCAGGTTACTCTGCACTACAGAAAGAACACCAAATACCTCTGTCCTGTTGGGCTGGTCCTAGGTTAGAAATACAGTGTCCCTACGAACTGAAGGAACTTGCAAAAGAACCTGTTGGGTTAATCAATAAGATACATAAACTGACCTGAGTAAGATCTGGAATGTCTCCCTTATCAATTCCAACTTGCTGGGTTTACAACGAAAAAAAAAAAAAAGAAAAGAAAAAAGAAACAAGTCCATTATTACATGCAGTGGCAATGAAAATAAAACCAGTGATGTCTGAATGTTACCTAGAAGCTAACATACTAAAAAAGGACATTAATAACTTTACGAAGTGGTATGAGTTTCACTGAAAGTTAGCAATCACAAGTGTATTAAATTGCATTTCAAAGCAAATCCAACTTTTCATCCAGCCTAACTTTAACACAGAAAAGCTTACTGGCAGCATTAGAAACACCCGCATTGCTTACTGAAATTACATCTCCATTGTTAGCAGTTACAGTAAAGGAGAGCACTGTAAATAGACTGTAACATTCAGTTCATATATTCTGGACACTTTGTGCAATTTATAACAACACTACAGAAAATTTACTCTGTTGTCTGGCTAATAAAAAGGATACCCAAGAAACTCACTTCATGTTAATGAGTGCATACTATCTGTAAAATACTTTCTTGCATAGCAAAGTTCAGCAGCTATTACTCTGTATATGAAGTTCATTTTATGACTATAGACTACTGTACCAGTACAGACAGCAAAACAACACCCTTTCCATTGACACAGATTTATTTACCTCGGCTACTTTGAGGAATTCTGACAATTTGGTCATTCTGGCTAGAAATTTTTTGTAAATATCCAAGCCTTCTTTACACTGGTTCTTCTTCATATCAAAATATCTTTCTGAGGATGCAAATAAAACTCATGTAAGATAACACCCCCCAGCAAAAAGCCAAGACAATATTATAAAAGTAAATTTGAGACAAACTTCAGACAGGAGAAACTCAAGGCTATTTAGATTTTAAAGTTTACATGAAAACCTGACACCTTTTGTAATAAGTTAATCAAAAGAAAACACTGTTTTTTCTCTTTTGGAACACTAGAATATAACACACAGCTTTTTTAAGCGCGAATGTGAACCACTGCAACTGTTAAATTAGGTATTTAGGGGGATGTTTTCAAGAAGTCAGCTTATTAGCTGGCAATGAGAAAAATTATTTTAGCAACTGAAAATATTCCTGGTACATATCTACATTTTTAGACCCTGTATCATTATACTGTGATGTTTGCAAATGGGCTCAATATCCAAAAGACATCAGAACCATTAGAGTGATTCAAACACTGAACTGACCTACCAAAAGAAGGATCAACCACATCCTTCACTTTTTATGGTTTTGCCCTATATAATGACAAATATTTCATTGAGTAAATGCATTAACAGAACAAACCAAGATGTTTTCATTCAAAAATTTGCTTAAGTAATCATTATAGGGCCTTGCTAAGAGCTTATTGCTCCTGGACAAAAAAAGTCATACATATCATCTACTGGGCTCATGAGACTCAGGTACCAGGTAAAGGTGAATAGTTAAGCTATAAACTATGAGAAAACAGAAGTCAATCATACTGTGACTATACTGAACACTCAAAATACCAAGTATCTCACTAATACTTGTACAGCCCAAATGCAAAGGTTACCTACTGCACATATGGTATCTTTGTTCTAGTCTCACCCTTTCCTCTCAGCTTCTGTTTCATGATGTATTCTTCTAGGGAAGAAGCATATGTTTAAGCCTACGCTAGTTGCCACTGAAACTAGGACAGGCTTAATTCACTGGTAACGGAGCAGAGACAATTTATTATGAAACTGCAGTCAGAAACTGTCTGTATTCTTTAGTTCTCTTAGTATCTTATACAAAAGTTCAAAAGCTAAAAAAATTCTCACATACCTAAAAGATTAATAATCCCCTCATTGTATGCTGCAAAAAGTCTAATGGAATCTTTAAAGAGGAGCATAAAGGCAGCATTTATAACACCATTTGTTAGTTCATTTGGATTTGCCTGTGTAGAAAGTAATGAGAAAGTAAATTAGTATTTAATAAAATAATGAAACTCACTTCAAAATGAGAGAGTTACTTAACACTGGGTTTAAAGTACCTACATCAAAATCAAGGAGTGCATCAAGCTGGTTCTGTATGATTGGAAGGGTTTTCAGAAGCTTTTCAGCATTCATGGTTCTCATCACTCCATCTATCCTACACAGCAGAAGACACATATTTACAAGTTACCAAGAGACCTCAGCGTATGATGCTGTTTCAACAACACTATACTGCTTCAAAGGGCCAAAAGGGACACAATTCTACAGTAAACTCAAGAACAACTGCCATTTCCCTCCCCCCCCCCGTATGGAAGACCAAACAAAAGCAGCAGCAACAGTCTTACCCTCTTTTCATTTTGGTGAAGTCAACTGCTACAAGTCTATATGAAAGTGCTTTTTCGTTCAAGTATCTGCTATATCGCCTAATGAAGGTAGACATATCGTAGCCTGAAAATTAAGCATTTGTAAGTTAGACATTTTGAGGGGGTACAGGGATTTTTAAGCTCTTTTCAAAAACTATTCTTTTACAAGCCCATTTTTCATCAACTTGCATAAAAATCTCCTCAAAGGCACTTTCCAGAATCTTGAGATTCACTGTTTTTCACCTTGAGATGTGGTGGTACAGTTTCTTCCCAACTTGCTAGCATTAGAAAAATATTCATTGTGATTATGAAAATAAACACCTAAACAAATTAAACTATTAGGCAAGATCCAAGCATAAAACATTAGGCAAGAATCAAGCAGCTCCTATTGAGATATTCTTAAAATTAGTCTAAAAAGTGCCTTCCTACTAAAATGCTGAAGACTTTGGTAACTTATCTGCAACGCCTCAAAAAACACATAAAGACCCCAACATGTTTTCTACAACTGGCAAATAATTCTCAAGAGATCAGAAGGGGTTCTGCTTATACAGCACATCCTTGTCACCATTCTCCTAGAGTGCACCAACATAGAGCAAAAAAGCAGCAGTTACTTCCTTCAGTGAAAGGTCCTTACCCTGCATGGCACTTTTGTCCAGGTAGTTATTTAAATTGAACAAAGTGTTTCGGGATGCAAGATACTGGATAAAGCGCTGTTGGTGAAGAAGTTGAAAATATTATTGTTGTGAGAGTCAAAACATTTAAGCATATTACAAGAACGCTACACTTAGCTTGTAACTGTTTCTAGTAACCTCTATCACCAATAGAAATCAGTTAAAAGGGAAAAATTTAAAGGAAAAGTAGAAGCTACTGATTAGCAAAGGCTCTGAAATCCAAAAATCTATTTCAAAAATATAAAATTAAATAAAAAGACATCACTTCCCATGAATAAAAGATTAATAATCCTAGAGGAAGCTGCTTAGGTTAAATTTGTGATTTAGAATAGAATAGAATAGAAGCTGGAAAACACAAACCAAAAATACCACTGGCTTTATCCAAGCTCCCACAGTTCAGGGAGCTCTGCTGGTGCTGTGGAAGTGGGAAACACGCTCAGTTACAAAGTTTAAAAGTAGCAATATGCTTTTGGAACTGTGGTAAGCGGCAGCAATGCTGGGGTTATAGTTATATATATATATATATATATATATACATTGTAATGCACTGATCTGGCTAACAACAAAGTTTTGACAAATAGTAGCTGGCTCCATAAATAACACAAGAGGAAGAGGCAAACACATTCAGGTAGCAAGACAGTTTTAAAAGCTTCTCTGCCACTGTTGAACACAGATCTCCTGTGACAGCAATTTCTTGCCATTCTTGCTTCTTTGTATGTGTTTTAGTCCATAGAAGAGGATCATGACCGCTATGACTTAGTACTGCATTCACAGAGATGTAGAAGAAAACCAGTTGTAACATGGTCAGGAATGGAATGGTGATGTTCAAAATGTGTCTATACAATTTCAAAATTAGCTACTGTTCTGAATCTCATTTTAAAAAGGTCCAGGGCTAAGCCTCACCCTCCAGATGTTGGGGGTCTTGTATTGCACAATGCACAGGTGACAGGAATTTTAACCTGTTTCAGCCAAAACTTCATCATAAGAAACAGGTAGTCATGTTGAACAAGAAACTGCAAGACAGTAACTACTCAGACAACACTTTGACTTTCTGCTATATTTGCTTCTACTTAAAATAGAACTCCAACATCTGATAATTTTTCATCTGTATAAGAAAAAGGCCTTCTCTAATGTATTAGAGAAGCAAGAAGTCCACTCACATTCCACCTGAAATTACAGAACTAGTGTTCCAGCCACATTATCTCAGCAGGTATAAAGTAACTCTTCCGGTTTCAAATGCATCCACTCAAAGCAGAGGAGCAGACATGAAAATTTCTCTGCCACTACAAAATGCTGCACAGGCAAATAAGACACTGACTGCTAGCCCACAGCTCTTAAGCTTTTAATTTTTACTGTGGTTCAGTTTGTTTGTTTGTTTTCTTGCAAGCTTTAGTGTGTAGATATGAACTGTATTGGAAAAAAGAGAAATATAGAAACTGACTTACAGCATTCAGTTTAGCTTCATACTTATTCTAAGTAGTGAATTCCAAGCAGTCAATTTTACTTATCCTTGTATTATCCTCTAATTTCAGCCTATTATCTGTTGAAACTACAATTTAAGCACACAAATAACTCGGGGAAGCATTAACAAAGCGCACACTGTGTTTTACAAGTCATCTCAATGAAGTGAGAGGAGGCAACAGAGTTTTCAGAGCATTTTAGTGGCTGGAAGCAGTACCTTAAGAATCATCATTTCAATATTACCAGTAGTTGACAGTTATTTATTACGAGAATGCCTACACACAAGTGCAGGACTAAACTGTCACCTGACCAAGACAAAGTTGAGTTTCTAACAGAAATGACTGCCTAAGAGAGGCTACAGTTCTAATGCCATGGTATTGTCTGAGAAGCTTTTCATAAATAGTGATGAAATAATTAAAAGTGAAATAAAAGCAACAGAAACCTGTTTAGGAGAAACTTTTGTAGTAACAACGTATGAAGATTTATCCCATTAGATGATGATTTCCAAGATCCAATCTTCTAGTCACCATATTCCTCCCCCCCTTTAGTAAGTATTCTTATCTATTAATAGGTTGGCTGCACATTTATGGAGTGCCAACAAGACTCTTCTGCTGTGCTCTTACTGATAAGCACCAGCCTAATGAAGTAAAGCTCATCATAAAGAGCTCATAAAGCTCTTTATTCTAGAAAGGTCACTCATCATTCCCTCATAGCCCATCCCAGATACCGGCAGATATATTGCAAATATTGATATATTTCAGTATTGAAATAATGAAAGAGTATTCTTTTCTCTGGAGAAGTACTTTCCAGCCATCAGCAGAGGAAAAACAAAGACCATTGAAAATCAAAGTACACATCTAATGTTTCAAAGACTGAGAAAAAATTTTAACACACTACCAAGGAGGCTTTAAGAGAAGTAATCAAGTCTTACCTCATTTCCATACATCATGAGGTGGTGTGTTGTAATTAGAGCTTTGAACACTACAACCCAGCTACTGTTTGCAGTTCTCTCAAAGAGTGTATCTGCCAACTGTGGAATATTCACATTCATTTCATTTGTGCACTGTATTAGATCTAAATTAAAGGAAAAAAAAAATCAAAACATTACAATAAGCTGCATGCTCAAAGAGGATCCTTATTTTGTGTTTTTTTATACTGAGAATTCTTCTTGGATGCATTATAAGAAATAACTGAGCTATTTTACATTCCTACTCAAATTCACTGCATTTTATTGACAGACTCCAAGTATGAACTTCAAAGACATTTCAATTTTATGGGAGTCTCAGCATATCATCAATGACTTGCTCCAGTAGAAACTCTCTGCCCAAATTATTGTCTGATACCCACTCAATCTTAGAAAAAAAAAAAAAAACAAAACAGATAAAATAAACCCAAACAAACAAACAAAAACCCAACAATATACCCCCCCCCCCCCAACCAATCAACCACCAGGAAAAATGAGAGCAGCAAAGAGTAGCTGAGACATCTGTGCCTCATGAGATCAACAGGCAGTGAGGACCCTGCAGCTCCAACCTAAGCTTGCGTACCGACACACATGATAGCAAATGAGATGCTACAAACCTGCAGTAAGCCTCTTTTCTATAAGAATTAAGAGCAAGAATTTGATTCTACAGATGCAAACCAAATACTTTGTGGTGGACCATTGGAGGTCTCAGGCTTTTATATAAAAAACCCTCTTTGTGTCCAAGACCGATTATAAACTCAGTAGTAGAACATTAACCTGGGAAGTCAAGAATACTTCAAGTCTTTGCCTGAGTATTGGTACAAAACCAGAACAGGCTCCAGCAGATACCTGGGGAAAAAAAGGCCTGCTGAGAAGAAAGCAAAGAACCAAATCCAGGACTATTCTAAATCCCTCAAGACATGAACATTAGACATTTATTCTCTCTTGAGCTAAATTTGGCTCAGGTGTGATCAAAGTACACCTTAAGGACTGGGCAAGGCCAGAAAAGCAAACATTGAGTTTGAAAAGCTTCTTTTGTGGCCTCTTCTTTAAGCCAAGTCTGCGAGCAGCCTGTTGGCTGCAGAGCAGCATTGCTGTTCATGCGGTTTGTCTGTCTAAGTACTTGAAGAAGAGTAGATGCTTGGGAAGTTGGGCAACAACTGAATACTGGGGTGTTGGCCAACTTGTCATATTAGCTCCACGTACAGGACAGACTAAGTTATCGTTAGCAATTTAAACATGAACTTAGAGATCACACATTGATAGTCTCGCACAAAATACTTCACAGAAAGACTGCAGTTAGAATTTCTATCTGTTTCACTGCACAAAAGAGATTACAAATGTATCTTACAGATCTGTCAAGAATATTAAATTCTTTGAGTAAGGATCACTGTTTAGAACAACTTAATAACCAGAGTGATTTTAATAATGAGTTTTAGCTAGTATCTTGCTGAAGTAGAAAGCTATATAATGCCAGTTCTAGTAAGTTACTAATTTCATTCTGATGCCAAAGGTTTCAAAACACATACAAAACATGACAGCTGGGCTGAAAACTTTCATCCTTATTAGTAACACACAAAATGCTGAAAGAAAGAGCAGCCCTGGAAATAAGTTTCAAGCTATTCATCAAAACTTTATTGTTGAGTAGTATTAAAGCATTTCAGTATTTACAAACATGAAGAGTCTCAAAACCCATGTCATTTGATACATGCTGCTCACAACTCACAGCTGTATCATCATCAGACACTGTGTCAAATTAAGAAGTACTTTAACATTTCTAGAAATCCAAACGGTCCATAGACAACCATTGCTCCATATAATGAAACAAGTCCCAGTTCCATAATTTATGCACAGAGATGACACGAACTTTAATTCAACAGCCTCATCTACTGAATGAGAACTTGTTTGGTATTTTTCAGGGAACTGAAGTGTCTGTAACCAGCACAGAAATGTTACAAGTCCTACACTAAGTTTATAAAAACTAAACAACCAACAAACTCTATATAGAGCAATACCTACAACATTACAATATCTGCAACAATGCCTATAACATTACTACTAGGGAGCAATTAAAGAAATTCCACTGATCTGCTAAGGTCAGAGACACACAGCCTATTGAAAATATTATTTCTGCACAAAGCCTTTTTCCTATACAGGACCACTGAGAAAGTCAATTTTTTCATTGAAGATTTTCAATATTAAGAGTGCTTACTGGGAGGGAAGATCCATATTAAAACCAAATGCTTCCTGGTCTCAAGTCAAATTAGCCAAGGTAACTTCATTCATATACTGCCAGTACTCTCCACAGAGATTTCAATCTTGTCACCTTCCCTCAAGCTAAGGTCTACCAGCAGCTGTTCCTGTAGAGTCCAAGATGATGCTGAACACCTGGGAGATCCCTTGCATATAGCTATGTCTACAACGTTCTCATAGTGCTGCTCAGACACAATGTGACAGAAATTTACTGTTAGCAACTACATCAAATGCCTCTGTCTCTCCTTAAGCCACACATTTGTAAAAAAAAAAAAACTTTAGCTTTTCATGCCATCATAAAGGTTTACAACCATAAAAAGCCATCTAGATATCCGTCTACCTTTAGAGGGGAGCAACTGGCTTCTGCTTTGGTACACAAGACTGAAAGAAGTTTTCTGTCAAGTGACAGTAATAGAGTGTAAGTTGATAGACCTCAGGTGCATTTGAGAACTCACACGGTACTGCTTTATTCCACAAATGTACCTCCACATGATTTAGAAGTGCAGTTCTAGTAATTCCAATAAAGTGCTAGTAAGGGTTTTCAGCACATTCTACTTGTTCCTGTAAGATATGAGCCTGACCATTTTAAAAGGCAACCAAAATGAGATTTCACACAGTAGGGCTACTCAGAATTTAATTCAAGCTGTGTTTGAGGTTAGATGACTTGAATAAGCTGCAAGTGCCATGCACTTTAGACGTGTGCTGAACACTGGCTTCCCTGAAGACAATTTTTATTGAGGGCACTTAGCACAATTCAGGTCTTTGGTCCCCTTGAATGCACAAACTCATAAGCTACAGTTGCCAACACCAAAGAACACACGCTTAAACAAACAAAACATCTCTAAAATAGTAAACTAAGAATGAAAAAAAAACAAATCTCAGTGCATTTTATAGGCCAAAACTGGTGTTTCCCAAGAGTGAATTGCAAAATCTAAGTTTAAAAAGACTCTTTAATAAGGATATTCAGGGCAATTTTTTCCTTATTATTTTACAATTAGCATAAATAAAACTAGCATCACGTTTGAATTTCCAGCTCTTGAGATACATAACAGAAAAGGCAAGTGTTGTTTCTCTAATATGTTCTTCTGACTCTGCAATAGGAATATCTACATCAAACAAGCCTACACACAAACTATGGATCTGTTACAGCTGGTAACAAAGAGGAAAAGGCTATTACCACCATACATGAGGATATATAAAGGAACACATGCACCTGAGACTGATGAGCAACACTAATATGGATGTTGGCAACAAAAACTGGAATGAAATTTGTAGGGCAAGTGATGCTCATTTTCTTATCACACTACTTATACCAACACTTTACAACTCAAAGCATTTTGCCAATTACCCAGAGGAATCATTTCAACTGCAAGCGAAACTGTGGTGCTATTTCTAGAATGGAATTCAGAAACATTTTAACATCACCGGGAAGGAGCGGGGGGGAGGGGGGGGAAGAGAAATTAAAATCAAACTGCTTTAAACCAGAAGAGTACCACAGGGGTCTTCAAGCAGCCTGGAAGAGATGTGGAAATCTTACTGCCAGAAGAATACTAAGTATTTCTCTTCCACAGCTCATCAAATATTGGCACAATCATCTGTGAAACCATACAGCTCTTTGGAAAACAGAATGCACAAACCAGCTATTTAAAATATATATATTTATATATCAGGTTTTTGGAAAATTCCCAGCCAGGCACTGACAAAAAGAGAGACACACTTGTCAACTTTCAAGTACCAAGAAAGTAATCCTTTTCTTGAGTCAGGAATATCTGTCTCAAGACAGCTGCAAATACATGAGTTAAAGACAACCATAGTTGTTTAATATTCCTGTATTTCTTTCATTGTCACAGGACTGAAACTGCTCTAGAGAAATAGAAGAATTAAGACCACTTGCCTTAATCCCAACAGTCTTGGAAAAAAATACTGTATTTTGTTTTTGAAAGTTACACCATAAACTATAAGTTTACAGAAACATAAAAGAGAAGATCCACTTCAGCAGACTTTCTCAGCATAGCCTAAGGAATGCAACAGTTCTTGCTGGAAGACTTAAAAGAGCACCCGGCACAAATATTTTAATGCACCCTTATAGACCAGATTTGCCAACAAACTTTAAGTTTCATTTATATAATAGCTAAATCTGAACTTAGAGTTACTTTACCAGAAGCAAAGCAATTCAGCTACTCTGTCGCACTCCCCCACTAAACAAGGATAAACGACAGCCCATAGTTTGTTGGTTTTTTTTAAAGCTTAGAGCAATTGTTGAGTAAAATTCACGTTTATAGATACAAACAACTATGTTGTTGTTGTTGTTTTTCAAGTTGAATTTCCTCAATTACTTCACAGATTACTAAAGAGTTTCAAACTAAAGAAAGGCACCTTACTCCTTGTGGAAGAGTTCAGGGCTATTTCTTGGTACTGTATCACAACTTAAGTATCCCTTGCAAGAGCCATATTGCATCAGCATTCATGAGCTCTAGCTACCAAAAGTAAGAATAGGCAGATACAAAACCAACCCCAAAGTGTGAGACTCATAATGTGGTATTATTGGCAAAAGTTTAGAATGATTTGGTGAAGACCTATGCAACTTTCTCCTGCTGCATAATACAATTCTACAGTACCTGAATTATCACTTCTTACAAGATTTCCAAAGCCCATGTAAAAGTCTTAAGTTTTGATGAGTAACATTAACTGCTTTCTCCTCCCCTGCGCTTAAGAGGGACATATGCAAGTTAAACAGGAGTTGCTTTTTCCTTTATTACTATATTCACTTAATTTAGGGGATTGTATCTTTCCAAATTTTGGCCTACACACAGGTCTACTCAGCCAGTTACCAACTTGTCTGCAGCTCTAGTTTGTTCCCTTTTTTATTATGGCTTTTCAGTAGTTAGCCAGGAAGAGATATGTCACCAAAGGCATAATCTAGCCCCACTCTACTGCAACCCAAACTCAGAAGGAGGGGAAGCGAGGAAACCCACACTGGGGAAAAAGAGACAAAGACCTTCAGGTGCTTCACTAAGAAAATACCAGCCTCTGTATAATACTTTATGTTACTCTAAAACATTACAAAATATTACAGAAATAGATCTGATGATTTATTTAGGCCACTGTGACCTACTTTAAAAGAAAAAAAAAAAAAAAGAACCCACCAAGTATTCCCATTGACATTGCTTAGGTTTGGAGTTTGGATTTGTTTTTTTTGTGTGGGTTTGTTGTTTTTGTTGTTTTGGGTTTTTTGTTTTTTTTTTTCTTTTCAAGAAAAATAAGACTATACTGCTCAGCAGTTAGTAGCCAGACAAAACCCAAGACTCCTAAATACTAGTTCAAACACTGCAAGTGTAACATCTTCCTGTAAAACCCCATATTGTAATATAGTGCTTCTTGCTGAGGAAACAGCAAGGGGGTGCGTGTGTGTGTGTTAAGAATTAATCTGAATAGAGTGCACAAACTGATACTCCTCCACAATCCCTGACACAACTACAGCAACTCTCAAAAACATCTTCTTGAAGCTTTTTCTTTAGCAGCAATTACAAGTAATACCAGATGGTGTAGCATTTTTGCATGACACACACACGTAGCACCAAGGTGCAACTAGCAGTGAATTGCATTAAATCTGCGCTATGTTTTCCTCCATAATTTACTCACACTGTATCTTTGAAAATACACTGTGTGATCTCTTTTCCCCAGAGATTACATTATTTAAACTAGTATTTTACCTACCTGTGTTTAATGCAAGTAAGTTTTGTGTACTAGGGATAAAGTGCCACACAAAGGCTTGCAGATGTTTGAACAGCAGTGCCTGGGTATGCCCAGTGAATAGTGGAGAATGTGCACTGGGATTTCTTTTCAACCCCTTGCAGAGATATTTGCAGTACCATAGTTCACCTTTTTTTTTCCCCCTCCTACCCCACCAAAGTATTCCTCTATTTCAAACACCAAATCAGAACAAGCTTTTTGTTTGTCTTAGATCAAAGTCTGAGGAAGTCAATTACATCAGAACACAGAGCTTCTCTGCCACAGAAGGGGACCCTCTGGAGACTGACAGCTCAGGACAGGTTTGTATCAAAGATATCCAAAGGAATTTGACAGCCAAAACGCAATCTCAGTTTATGCCCTTCTCAAGAGTTTTTCCAGGCTTCAATTTTCTTATTTTGTGAGGGTAACTTACAGTAGATGTCATGATTTTAAGGATCTTTTCAACCAATGCACTACATCTTTCAAGCTTCAGAAGCTTTCAAACTATTGAGCAAACTCACCACTTTCTGGCTTCCTGTTATGTTACCATTTCTGGACTCAAGGGTTACCTCCTGCAGTTATTCTACCACAGGCAGAACACAAGGAGAGATAAAGTAACGTAACTTTAAAAAGGTGGTTTTAAAAAAATAAATTGACAGTTACACAGATTTAAGGCTTTTAATTTCAACACAGCAGCTGCAATATTCACTGCTGTAGCTGGATTCCACTCATTCAGATCAAAACCAAATGAGACACATATTTGTTTGTGTTTAACTATTTGATCCACACCAAAAGCTCTCACACAACAAGTCTGTCTTAACAGAAGAATGTCACAGTGTCAGAGCACCAAACTACCCTCAAAAAATACAACTGATTATACGTCTTCCAAGGGCTGGAACAGCAGAGTCCCCTTAGCACCACCAACTTGTGCAAGTCCTGCAAAACTACCATCCTGCTCCACTGATTTTGAAGAACCCAGCATAAAGCTTCATATCTTCTTTCCCCAGGGGAAACACACACACGCTTACTTCACTTCTAGTAGTACTGCATAATGTAGAAGGTTTGGAGCACTGGCTGCACTTTTGAGCAGTTAAACAGTAACTTCTATTGCTATCCTGTTACTAAAACGTGAAACAAAGCAACACCACCGATAACTTTCTAGTTATCACGCGTTCTAGTTACTATTTTTCTGCCTCTTTTGGCGTGCAGAAAGGTGTTTTAACTTATTAAGTTTAAATATAACAGTGACAACATACTCTCATTCTGGAAAGGTGCACTGGCCCACCTTTACCCTCCCCTTTACCTCACTTTTTACCTCTTTTCAAGAGCCGTAAGATAAAAAACTATGGTATTTAGAGAAACATTGCAGTCTGCAGTCCGCCACATGCACAGAACGACAGAAGAGTGCTTAAAAATTTAACTTCTCGCTCACAACAGTAAACCCACACAACTTAACCCACTTTTTGCCCCGGTGCCGGATTAATAAACCCAGAGCACACAGGCTAAGAAGCAGTCACCGGGAAGAGTTCACAAGGTTGCACTAATTTTGTTCCCTGGTGTTACAAAGCTCGCTCCCTCCACGTGTAAAGCAACCTCTGAAGAGCAAACCAGCCGGGTTCACCCGGCCTTACGCCACATTCCCTCCGCCCTGCTACAAGCAGGAGGGGCCGCACCGGCTGCCTCGGGGCTCCAAGCGGCTCCCGCCGGGCGAACCGCGGGCCCGGCCAGGCCTCCCCCGGCCCAGGCCGCAGGCGGCCACCGCAGGGTCCTACTTACAGTCCAGGTGCTTCTTCTTGGGGCCCATCACCTCGTGGGTCGTCGCCTTGCAGACAGCCTTGGACACGGCCGAGCCGGTGACACTGTGCTGCGCCGCCGTGATGCGGTCCGTGATCGACTGCCCCGACATCATCGGCGCGGACCCGCCGCGGCGGGCAGCAAGGCCGGGACAGCTGCTCCCCCGTAGCCGGGGAGAGGAGAGGCGAGCGCAGCCGCCCGGCGGACGGGAACCGGCAGCTCCCTCCGATGTGAGGCCGGCGACCGGGGAGTCCTGGCCGGGCACCGCCTCACCGGCTCCTCCGACCCGCCGCTGACGGCTAACGAGGGCTCTACCCACACAACCCGCACTGCCTCCCCGACGCAGCGGCGCCCCTTACTCCCGCCGCCGGCCCGGCCTGCCCGGCCCTGCTCGTCCTGCGGGCTGCGCCCCGGCTTTCCCTTTCACATTCACACTACCAGACAAAATGGCGGCGGCCGCGGTGGCGGCGGCGGCGTCAGGTGACCGGCGCGCCCGCCCCACGCCCCGCCCCGCGTGCCCGCCCCGCTCCCGCCGCTGCCCCCTCACCCCCCCCCCCCCCCCCGCGGGCCGGGAAACCGCGCGGTGCCGCCGCGTGCCCGTGGGGCTCCTCCGTCACGGGTGACGTCAGAGGGCGGTTGGCGGTGCGAGAGCTGCGGGCTGGGCCGAGTCGGTCCGATCCCCGTCCGACCCGGGCAGTGCCGGGGATGGGGCAGCCATGGCTCCTATGGACAACCTTCATCCTAACGGCAACCTCCACCCTAACGGCAACCTTCATACTAACGGCAACCTTCATCCTAATGGCAACCTTCATCCTAATGGCAACCTCCATCCTAACGGCAACCTTCATCCTAACGGCAACCTTCATACTAACGGCAACCTTCATCCTAATGGCAACCTTCATCCTAATGGCAACCTTCATCCTAACGGCAACCTCCACCCTAACGGCAACCTTCATACTAACGGCAACCTTCATCCTAATGGCAACCTTCATCCTAATGGCAACCTCCACCCTAACGGCAACCTTCATACTAACGGCAACCTTCATCCTAATGGCAACCTTCATCCTAATGGCAACCTCCATCCTAATGGCAACCTCCATCCTAACGGCAACCTCCACCCTAACGGCAACCTTCATACTAACGGCAACCTTCATCCTAATGGCAACCTTCATCCTAATGGCAACCTCCATCCTAACGGCAACCTTCATCCTAACGGCAACCTCCATCCTAACGGCAACCTTCATCCTAATGGCAACCTCCATCCTAACGGCAACCTTCATCCTAATGGCAACCTCCATCCTAACGGCAACCTCCATCCTAACGGCAACCTTCATCCTAACGGCAACCTTCATCCTAATGGCAACCTCCATCCTAACGGCAACCTTCATCCTAACGGCAACCTTCATCCTAACGGCAACCTCCATCCTAACGGCCACCTTCATCCTAACGGCAACCTCCATCCTAACGGCAACCTCCATCCTAACGGCAACCTTCATCCTAATGGCAACCTCCATCCTAACAGCAACCTCCATCCTAACGGCAACCTTCATCCTAATGGCAACCTCCATCCTAACGGCAACCTTCATCCTAACGGCAACCTCCATCCTAACGGCAACCCCCATCCTAACGGCAACCTTCATCCTAAGGACAATCTCCATCCTAACAGCAACCTCCATCCTAACGGCAACCTTCATCCTAATGGCAACCTCCATCCTAATGGCAACCTCCATCCTAACGGCCACCTTCATCCTAACGGCAACCTCCATCCTAACGGCAACCCCCATCCTAACGGCAACCTTCATCCTAAGGACAATCTCCATCCTAACAGCAACCTCCATCCTAACGGCAACCTTCATCCTAATGGCAACCTCCATCCTAATGGCAACCTCCATCCTAACGGCCACCTTCATCCTAACGGCAACCTCCATCCTAACGGCAACCCCCATCCTAACGGCAACCTTCATCCTAAGGACAATCTCCACCCTAATGGCAACCTCCACCCTAATGAGAACCTCCACCCTAATGGCAATCTCCACCCTAATGACAACCTCCATCCTAATGGCAACCTCCATCCTAATGGCAACCTCCATCCTAATGGCTCATCTCAGCCTCCCCTCTGTCAGGTTCCTCTTGTCCTGTCCTTACAGATCCTTGTCCAAAACCCCTCTCCAGCTTTCTCGTTGGCCCATTTAGGCACTGCAGCTGCTCTAAGGTCTCCCCAGAGCCTTCTCTTCTCCAGCTGAACAAGCCCAGCTCTCTCAGCCTGTCATAGGTTGATCTAACAGGGCTCACTGTCAGGTTGATTGGATGGGTTTTCTCATGGAGCAGTGACATTGGTGTCTGCAGGCGGGCAGAGGCGCAGAAGGGCCTCACAGTACCGCTGCATGCTGTAGGAAAACTCCCCCTCTTGCAGGTTGCAGAGACAGAATAAAAGCTCCTTGGAAAACTTTTCTCTTGCAGACTTCATCAGCAGAAGTAGCATCAGTAAAAAGAAAAAGCCTGGCCTCCCTTGCTGAGCCTGTTGCGTGTGCTGCTGATGAAACTGAACCTGCTCCAGAAGACAAATGCAATAATGAACGCCCTCCCCTCCTCTTTCTTCTCAGCTTCATTGCTGAGCAGACAGCACACGGTCTGGAATACCCCCTTGGTCAGCTGCGCCCAGCGGTCCTGGCTTTGCCCCCTCCTAAGATCTTGCCCCCCCCCCCAGCCTCCTGGTGTAATGTTGGAAAGGCAGCCTTGGTGGAACATTGCTCAGCAGTAGCCAAAACACTGGTGTGTTATCAGCACCCTTCTAGCTGCCAACATAGAGCACAGCACTATGGGGGCTGCTGGGGGTAAAACTTAACACCATCCCAGACAGACCTGATACAGGTTTAAACAGAACAAGGAAGGCAAGCAGGGATGGCTCTCAAGTGGAGCTGTCTATCTCCCAGTGCTGTTGAAAAGCATGATGACACTACAGATATTAGCAGTCCTATGATCCAGGGTGGGTAACGTTGTGAATGAAGGATTTCTACAACCCTAAGGGCATAAATGCATTACAACATGGTCACTGCTATTAAAACATTGAACATTTCCTGTGCTGGAAGAAGTTACAAACTCTTCAGCCTGACTGGCAGCAGGCAATTTCTAGCTGCCTTTATTTTTGCCTTAAGACTTGTAGTTTCTGGGGGAAAAAAGTCTTGAATCTTCAAAACCTGAGGAAACATCAAAACAGTAAGAAAAAAATAGACGGAAAGATTAAATACGCATTATAAATGTCTACATCTCTTGGGGCTTGTCTAAACAGGGAAGCTATTTCGCAATACATGAGGGTGTGAGCTGAAGCGCAGCAGCTATTTTGTGCTACCTCCACCCCCAGCAGGGACTCTCTTATTCTATTCTGTTTCAGAAAGGCTAAATTTTGCAGAAAAGTGCCAGAGTTGAGTGTTTCCCATTACTGTGGCTCTGTCTTTACTCTATGTGCTAGTCAGGCACAAATATGAGTTCTAATGTCCCTCTTCAGTCAGTGCATTGGCTTGCTCCAGGTTGTATCCAGCATTGATGCTGCACATCGTACCCCTCAGCACTGATGTCTGCCCAGCACAACAAACTGAGCACAGTCTGTACAGCCTGAGAGCTGATCAGTCAGAAACACAAGTCAGTTTTTCACTGCTGTTCAGACCATCTCCTCGGAGGGCTTTATAAATGTGCCTTCTTTAGGTTTAATGCATTAATTACAGAGTGCCTGTGTAATTCCTATTCCGTACAACAAATTATGCCATGATGGAATACTTGAAAGAATTATTCCAAATCATAAAATGTACCATAGGTGCATTTCCATGGTCACAGAAGCATATGAAAATGTATTTTGGGATGGACCTCTGGAGGTCACCCGGTACAGCTGGACCTCAAAGCAGGGCTAGTCTTGAGGGGGGAGTGGGCTGCTCAGGTCCTTGTTCAGAACAGCACTGGAGATGATTAAGAAGATTCCCCTCTTTAGGCAACCTCTGTGGTCATATACAATGTCAATCTCGTATTGTAGTGTTGGACTTGGCAGTGTTGGGTTAAGGGTTATGACTGTTATGATCTTAAAGGTCTCTTCCAATCTAAATGATTCTATGCTTCTGTGTCTGCATCTTCAAGACTTATGCAGGTATGAGACTATTGAGACATCTGACGCCTGATGAATCCATTAGTGAAGGAAAAGGAGTTCTTGCCAGTATAGAGAGGGGGAAATCAGTGACAAGCCAATTTGGGCCATCATCTATCCACCTTAAGGGGCACATCTACATTTCTGATGCAATGCGGAACTTTATTTTGTTAGTAAGAGTGTGTCTGGGTGAAATTCTACACCTTTTAAATCAGATAAGGACAAAGAAGTAGAAGCTACCACCCCTTAGGGTGGAGTGGCAAGGTGCATTCATCATATCAATTAAGGATGTCTTTATGGAGGGGTTGTGCCATGACACCATGAAAGATGAACAATTAGCTAAGCAAATTGTTGCATAGAAATTTAATTGAGAGGTACGTAAATAGCTCCTAGGGAGTGATGGAGTGATACCTTACCCACCTCCCAGCTCCCCAGAGCCAAATTGGTCCTGAGGAGATAAGGAAGTGTTGATGTTTTTAGGGCTGAGGTTGAGCTGAGGTTTCATGTCTTTCTTCAGGAGCCATGCAAGACCTGTCCACTGGTCATTGCCTCTGTGGCTCTGTCAGGCCACAGCCAGAGTGACAGCACATCTTACACCAGGTAGCTGGCTGTGCTTGTGTTCACACCACATTGGTACCTCTTCATAATACTCCTTACCCATCTCTCTCCCACCTTCCCCCCTTTCATATGAAAGCAGTACATTATACAATGTCATTTAGGTTGCTCCACTAGCAAGTCTTGCTCTTTGCCACTCTCTTGCACCTATGGACTTTGGTTCGTATTTGTAAGGATAAAAACCTGGAAATGGTATGTACAATTTATGTCTCACTCGTCTTGCCCTGTGTTTACTGTAGGGCGAGTGATGAGGGCTTCAGAAAGGAGACAGGAAACATAGTGCTGGCATGGATGCATAAAAATAGTGCTGGGGAGCTGGTGGAGGGAATGGGATGTTTCTGGGCTTCTGCCATGACTGAATGACACAGATGGTTTTCCAGGGAATGAGTATTTTCGTAATGAGTAGTGAGTGTGCTTTGGGCTGGCTGCACCTACAGCCCCAGGAATGCAAACAGTTTAGCAGCAGGTTTGTCAATAAATGCCATCTGCTCAACAGCACTGAACCCAAAACACTGCAGAACCTACCTTACCGGTGGCTGCTGCTT